TGAGAATAAGAAGGGTGAATTTGTAGGATAAACATGGAAGAGATGATGAAAGAAATGAAGAAGGCAGTGAAGAGGAAAATGTGGTTGAATAGTATATCAACAAAACTGGACAAAAATTGACTATTAGGAAGAATTTGACTTTTGACCACTTCCCAGGTTCAATGGAGTACATATATTTAGCTCCAACACATGACCTCTCCCAACATCTTCTGTGCAGCTTTTTCAGATTAATAAATTAGTTATCTTGGTAACCACGGATACCTTTATAGTTAAAGCTCTATTTTTCTTGATCACTGGGAGAATGAACTTTGCTATGAGTCATGTACATTGCATTTAGGTAGATAAAGTGGTGCACTAGACTGATTTGTGAGGTGTGAGAGCTCCCAGAACCAGGCAGTGGAAGCTCAAAACTTCATGGATGTTAAAGATGCCATATGAATGTGCTCTACGGCACATTCTGATGGGTACTTTCACTTCCGACCCAAAAAAAAATTCTCAGACCTGCCCCAGTTTCTTCTGTACGAATGGGTTAAGTGGCTTGTCTAAGGTCTCCTAGCTATAAGCGGTAGACAAGCCTCCAGGGCCAAGTGTTCTCTCCCCAAAAGAGCTCTGGGGGTTTTGTTTGTTATTTTAATGATAACATGGTGAAGGCATCTCAGGTCATGTCTAGGGAGTGTTTTGTGTTCTGTAAGAGACTAGGAAATTGTTCACATATTTCTTTTTTAGTATTCCCATGCTTTTTATAGGACAACAGATTTTAACTCTCTCCTCTCTACTACAGCTTTGTATAAGATTGGCTTAAATGAATTGCTTGTCAAGTTCAAAGTTAATCCTATTTCAGGATCTTTTCCTCATGACATTTGTGTGTTTTGTGGGAATTGCCCTTCTTTAACTCTTCAGAATCTAATTGAAATATTCCAAATTTAAATCTGTCAACAATTCTTCCTTTTCCGTATCTTTAGTGATTTCTCAAAACATTGCTATTTATAGCAGCAAATAATCTGTAGTCTGTAGGTCATTTGTCTAGAACTTAATTAAAAGTCTCTAAGTTGGTATTTTCCTGGCAGTCCAGTGGTTAAGACTCCAAGCTTCCAATGCACAGGGTGTGGATTCAATCCCTAGTCAGGGAACGAAAATCACACATGTCACATGTCACAGCCAAAAAAAAATTGTCTGAGGGAGAGAACGTAGACTTAGGTGGACATTCCCTAGGATGATCTGACTCTTTCCAGGTACTTTTAAGGTGACATTGACTCAGTAAATTGAATTTTACTTTTCTTCCAAATTTAGAACTTCCTTCTTCCTTACGACTTTAAGATCTGGCTGTTTCTGTATTTCATTTTCTCTTTCCTCTCCTTCTCCTCTGCCTCCTCCCTTCCTCCCTTCTTTTTCTTCCTCTTTCCCTTCAAGGAATGATTAAAAGGAAGAGACCACCTAAGCTTACCAGGCAAGAATTATGAAAAATAAGGGAGCAATATAATACATTTAGAGAGCTGAGAAAGATCAAATGAAATGGAATAAGAACTAAGTGAGTTGAGAAAGGTAAGAAGGAAACATGAAGTACCCTGGTCGCAGGCACTCATCTGAAACAGAAAAGGAGGGAGAGTTGGAAGTGAGAAAGGTCTTGGGATGGATTTTTCCTCACTCCAGCCACTGGACATCACTGCTACAGCTTGGTTGCTGCCTGGAGTTGTCCACGGTGGGAAGGGGAGGAGAGAGGCAGTGGGCAGTTACTCTGTGCAGGATGTCTGCTAGACATATGTTTGAGTGGCTTGAAGTCTTTACTGGAACAAAGACAAGGATAAATAAATAATTGAACCTGAACCTATCCAGGTGTTTGTCTCTATATGTTTAAATAGTCTGTGACTTGTTTTAAATGGAATCCAAACACAGAGCATGATTTAGATGGCAATTTTATTACCCTTGGCTTGGCCTTGAGGACTGATTTTGAGCTTTCTGCCCGAAAATAAGCTCAGAATGAACTAGAAGTTCCTTTATCCTTAAAAACAGAAATAATTCTGGATCTGCTTTGGCCTTCTTGGGGAAAAAAGGCAACGTGGAAAGAGTTAGAATTATTTGGTAAAGAGTCATTTTGTCAGCTGCTCTCGTGAGGTAGGATAGAACCTTCAGGAAATGAATTGTGTGGTACACGTGCAATTCGAGGTAATTCAGGCAGTGAAACTGCTTGTCAATGGAATATGTGGGATGGTGGTTTTTTAGAGTGGGGAGGGGTGCTGTGCTGGATCTGCCACCACATCAGCCCCAAATGTTTTCACCATCCTTCACTTCCATACAAATCATGTCCACCTGGTGTCTCTGTGGGTCAGCATTTGTTCAGGGATGTTTGAAATAGCAAGGGTTTTCATAAATGTTGTGCAGGGAACTGGTCCGAATTGTTCCTCCTTTGCCTCTCCACCCCGTCAACTCAACAGGAGTCAGTGAGTAAAACAGATTTTCATGGTATAGAATTCTTGTAGAATTCTAGGCATGGCCTGGTAGCAGAGTTGACAAATTCTGGTCTGAATATTGACTCCGCGCATTCATCTGAGATTGAATATATATTCAAAGCGTGGGGAGAGAGGGGGTGGGAACTCACGGCATGATTTGTCCTCATCTGAACGCTCTGGGGCTGGTGCTTATTCAAAGTATTTCTGGGTAGGGCTTCCCTTGTGGCTCAACTAGTAAAGAATCTGCCAGCAATGTGGGAGACCTGGGTTCAATCCCTGGGTTGGGAAGATATCCTGGAGAAGGAAAAGCTACCCTCTCCAGGATTCTGGCCTAGAGAATTCCATGGACTGTTTAGTCCATGGGGTCACAAAGAGTTGGACATGACTGAGCAACTTTCACTTAAGATGTTTTTAAAGAATTTTTGCTCCTCCTGAAATGTTCTGCCTCTTGGAATAAGGAGAGAATTGAAGGGAGATGGATATAATGGATCTAGCCTCCTTTTGGTGCTTTAGTTTTAATAGTTATTTCTAAATCGTACTATGGTTGTTGGTACAAGGTTAAATGTAATGGAACTGAGTAGAGAGTCCAGAAATAGACTCACATATATATAAGCAATGGATTTACTTCAAAGGCACCACTTACAGGAGAAAAAGGATGATCTATTCAACAAATGATGCCAAAGCAGTCGGTTGTCTTTTGGGGATGGGTGATGAACTTTGACCTCTGCTTCCTAGCATACACAACAGTTAATTCAAGATGGACCAAAACCTGAATATGAAAGGTGAACCCATGGAGCTTGTAGAAGAAAACAGGAGATCTTTATGGGCTTGGTCTGGGCCCCCCCCCCAAAAAAACTAACAGAACACAAAAAGCATCAATCATAAAAGAAAAATTTGATACATGGGACTATATTAAAACTAAGGACATCTTAGTTTTAAAATTAGGCTGTCAGAGAATCCGTAACATGTCTTCAAGACATGTGACAGAAAATCAGGCTAGAGTTCTTTCATGTGGGCTCCAGAAACTGCCTTGGCTAAGACCAGTGACCCTGCTCCTTGCTCAGTCTATAGAAAAATGGCTGCGAGTTGAAATAAGTGGCTTGTTGCAAGGCTGAGGCACTCGAATCTCACAGGAATCTCACACTCCCCGTGTGGTTTTGCTACGTGAGAGGCAGCTTTGTTCCCGGGCCCTCCCAGTCTCCAAACCCTGGTGCATTCTTCTCAGAACACTCCCTTGAGATCCCCTGAGCTTTGAGGCTGTCCCGCCAAGTCTGTGTGGGAAGGAGGACAGCCTCACGGGGCCCTCAGGCTTGAGCCAGATCCGCTGTGTGGTGTCCAAGTTCTTTGGGTCCCAGGGCCCTAGAGGGAGCCCAAGATGCAGTGAGGCCCAGCCCTGCCCTTTGCGGGGGCCTGGTGTTGGTGAGGACAGACGAGGCGGCGTCGGAAACAGAGCCAGCAGTCCACACCGCCGTGCTCACTATGCCCACGTTTGCAAATGCCTGAGACCCCTGGCCGAGAGACATGCTTCCTTTCAAATCTAGGCTTTAGAGGGAAGGAAGCAAGAAATATATTTAGAGCTTTCAAAACTATGTTTTGCCTGCTCTGACAAAGGGAAAAAATAAAACTACCCTGAGGGATTTTTTAAAAATCAGCTTTCAGTACTTGAGATGAGTGGGAAAACTCTTACATGCTGTTGTCATTTCCTTTCTGTTTCAAGAAATTAATTACGGGCTGGAAATAGCCTGTTGCAAGAGGGGAGACTTCGTGCCCTTTGAATGCTGATTATGCCAGAAAACTTTCCAGGCCCCAAGGGAAGGTTGTCCCTTTCCCAGGACTCTGATGCAAGATGTCCTTGCAGTTAGATACTTTATTCAGCTCCAAGACCCAAAGCAGTGGAGAGCTGAAATTCAGAGGGAATAATTAACTCATTCTTTGAAGAAATGGCCTCGAGCTTTGACTTTGGGCCAGGTTTGGTTCTGGAAGTACTGTACTGTCTCCCGGGATTCCAGGCTCCTTCCCTCTAACGTGGACTCTCTCAGGCGCCTGGGGCTGTGCCCGGTGAATTAACAGTGGAGCGCATTTGCAAAAATCTCCTGAGACTTTTTTTTTCCTTCTATTACCCAAAGAGTAAAGATTGGTTGTTGCCCCCCTCTCCAAACAGAAATACTAGTATATAAAAAAGAAAAACATTAAATATTTTGGGAGTTCACTATATTAATTGAAAAGTTGCAGATAAGCACAACAGCTGGTAAATTAAAACTCATTTAAGCATGAATCACAGGAGAAGAAAATTTTGTAAGCAATAAATTTTTCTTTCTAATTGTTTTCTGACTGTCAAAATGTATGCATCACCGAATTATAGATTAAAATCCTGCTGGTGGCTGGGGGAAGCTGGTCTGGTCTTTGAAAGTAACTTCAGATAACCAATGGAGGGGACAGTCTCCCTAACATAATCAAGTATTTACTTCTAGTAACACTTGCAGATTTCTAGCGTGCTGACAGATGTAAAAGACTGTTTAAAAACACAATTTGGCTTTGTGCACCTTCCCCTAGGTCCTTCCATCGTGACGCCCCCCAAGGACATCTGGAATGTCACTGGTGCCCAGGTGTATTTGAGCTGCGAGGTCATCGGAATCCCCACCCCTGTCCTCATCTGGAACAAGGTCAGTGGCGGAGACTTCAGGAAGACACCCTAGACTGACCAATGAGTAGCTACACTGCATGGGAGAGGAATGGCCTAGAATCCTCAACCAGTCAAGGCTTTCCCACAGTCTTCCGGACACCGGCCCTGTGTCTCATCAAACGACCTCCCTGCCCTCCAGAATAGTCCCTCTTTGCTCTTGTTAGCAGTCCCCCAGCACCGAGCCTGAGGGACTGGAGGAGCTGTGATGCTGAGCACACATCCCACCTTCTGAGTGCATGTGTGTACCTCAGTATAACATGGTGCCTAAGACTGTGAGCTCCTTAGGCGGGCTGGCAGGGTTCTCTCTAGGTCAGGGTTTCTCGGCGGCAGCACTGTTGACATCTTGAGCCAGATGCTTCTTTGCTGCGGGGGCTGCCCTATGCACTGTATGTAGTTTGCAGCGTCCCTGGCCTCTACCCCCTAGATGCCAGGAGCACGTGTGCATTCTCACATGTGCGTGCACACACACATACACACACACACACTCCACTATGACAGTTAAAAATGCCTCCAGACATTATCAAATGTTTCCTGGGGAGAAGGTCGCCCTAGACCTCAGTTTTTCCACTGTGTGATGAACGCAGCTTGGAATTCTTATAAAGATTACATAGGAAGTCGCCCGGCTAAATCACTGGCGCTCAGGCAATGTTAGCTACTCTTCCTGAAAATGTTTCCCTTTGAAGAGCGTTATCTTGTATATGAGTGTTATCTTCACATATAATGGACAACAAATTCCTTGCACGCCTGTAGAAGGGACGAGAAAAGATTGGCCAAGTCAGGTGATACTGTAACACTTCGCAGTCATAATGTACATGACATTAGTGCCCTTACACTTTTTGACTTGCTTAAACCTCCCAAGTCTGTGGAGTATATATCATCAAGCTCTTGCTAACAAAAGGGAAACCTTGTTTCAGTTGAGAGGCATAGCCGGAAGTCCCTCTTCAGCTGGTTTGCTTCTCCAGCAGGCTCTGAGATGGATGACGTCTGTCCTGATTACTTGATTTGGTGTCTGAACAGAGGAGCAACTCCTTTAACTCCAGGAGTGATTGTGGCTCCCATAGTCGGAACTCTTTCCGCTGCAAGTTGTAGAGACTCACTTCACACTAGTTTAGGGAACAACAACAAAACGGGGGTGGGGGAGAGGGATGATTCTAGCCTCAAGGGCACCTGCGTCCGGGCGCCCAGTGGGGTCACAACTCCCAACTCTTGGCTGTTTGTTCTTGGTGTAGGGGATCTCGTTTTCTCCTTGTGCTGCAGAAAGGTTCCTCCTGCTATGGGCGATATTGTCGCCAGCAACTCCAAAGACCTCAGAGGAAAGAGGGTATCCCCGCGCTACTTTGTAAAATTCCCACAGGACTCTGACCCTGGTTGGGTCACCTGCTAACCTCTGGCTCCCCCCTGTGGCCAGAGGGGTGTGGCGCCCTCATGGAGCCTTGTAGGAGCGGAACAAGGGTGACTCCAGAACCTGCCTGGGGTGACGGAAGCCGCCCTTTACGGCTGAGATTTCTTTAAACGGAGGGATGAAACTTTGCCTCAGTAAACTACTTTTTTAAAGGGAAGGCAGGAGCAGTGACGAGCATAAACTCAACTGATGGATGTATTCCTCTTGGCCTTCAGTGAAAGCTGCCGGTGCTCCTCATTGCTTATTCAGAGGTTTCTGGCTTGTTCCAGGGGGTGAAGAGGGAAGGAACAGCTTTTTCACAGGATTCCCATGAAAAGCTCTGTGCAGCTCTCTAAGAGTCACACAGTGAGAAGCCAGGGTGACCCAGGCCATGAAAGATCATGAAAGATCTTGACAAGACCCAACATCATGACAGATCTTGGCAGAGAGTAATTCAGTCCTTCCTCTGGCCATCCTTGCAGCTAATGTACCCACACACAGGGAGTAAATTAGCCTCAGGAATCTTTTCCTTTAAACTTGGAGATCCTCTGGGATTGATCCCTTGGATCCCTTGAGGGCTTGTCAACTGGAGGAGTTCTGGGGGAGGGTGGGAATGGATGGAGTGGGAGCGAGGAGAAAGGAACAGAAAAAAGTTTTTTCTATAGACCGTCTGAAACAAACAAAAACCCTACTTCCAGGTTCTGCTGATTTTCTTCTGTCTTCATAATGTAATTTGCCACATGCATGACCTAAAATAAAGCAGTGTTGTTCAAACTATAGACCGTGACCCATCAGTGAGTCTTGAATTTAATGTAGAGATCACAATCAGTATTTTCTTAAAGACTAAAAAGTAGAACAGAAAATACCTTAGGTAAAGGCACATTTAGTAAAGGTATTTCTTATTTATTTATGTTTGGTTACAGTCTTTGTTGCTGCATGCAGGCTTTCTCTAGTTGCAGTGAGTCGGGGGTTACACTTTGTTGAGATGCACAGGCTTCTTGGAGTAGCTTCTCTTGTTGGGGAGCACAGGTTCTAGGCGCACAGGCTTCAGTAGTTGCAGCACGTAGCCTCAGTACTTGTGGCGCCCAGATTGTAGTTGCTCTGAGGCATATGGGATCTTCCTGGACCAGGGATCCAACCCATGTCCCCTGCATTGGCAGGTGGATTCTTATCCACTGTACCACCAGGGAAGTCCTTTAGTAAAGGTATTTCATAAAACTTTTCTTCTGTATATTCCAGATAGCAATGCAAAATGTGTTTCTTACTATGAGCCATGTCAGAGCACTTTGAAAGTCACTGACCTAAAGAATTAAACAGGCCATTTATTTTCTCCTCCACTCCCCTTGTAACCAGACTGTTAAGAAATACAGATTTATACTTAAGATCACCTGTCAAATCCAATTTAAGCATGGAACTGCTTTTTGGACATAAATGAATCTTGGAATCCTCCCTTGTTAAACTGAGGTTCCAAGAAGGTAGCGTGTCTTTCTTGCTCAAAGATTCTTAGCAGCAGCAGAACTAACAGGATGACTCTTCTCTGTGAGGCCCTTCTGGCTACGATGACAGTTCTATGGCAGGCCCAGCGTACTGAGTGGCCTGTGCTATTCTGACCAGTACTTATCATGTGACCTTAACAAGTCCCATACATATATATATAGGTTTTTTTTTAAACAAAACTCCTGGGATTGGCATATATACTACTATGTATAAAATGGGCTTCCCTGGGGGCTCAGTGAAGAATCCACCTGCAATGCAGGAGACCTGGGCTCGATCTCTGGGTTTGGAAGACCCCCTGGAGGAGGGCATGGCAACCCGCTCCAGTACTTCTTTCCTGGAGAATCCCCATGGACAGAGGAGCCTGGCGGGCCACAGCCCATGGGCTTGCCAAGAGTTGGACACGGCTGAGCGACTCAGCACGGCAGAGCAGTGTGTGTGAAATGGGTAACTGATGCACTGGTCAGCACAGGGCATTTTCCCCAGTGCCCTGGGGTGAGCTCAGTGGGAAGAAGAGATTAAGGAGAGGGGGTATATGCACACAGATAGCTAACTCACTTTGCTGTGCAGTGAAAGATAACACAACATTGTGAAGCAACTGTTGTTGTTCACTTGCTAAGTTGTGTCTGACTCTGTGACCCCATGGACCACAGCATGCCAGCCTTCCCTGCCCTCCACTATCTCCTGGAGTTTGCTCTAGAGGGAGCAGCTATACCCCAATAAAAACTTTTTTATTACAAAAAAAAACCACCCAGCCTACAAAGATTATAAGAGCCATATTTTGAAATGGGGAAAGGAACTGAAAAAGCTGTATTTACCTTAACCCTGGTAAGTCAGAGGGATGCTTACAGGGAAGGCAAGAGACCAGAATTCCTTCCAAACATTTAGGTGTTTCCAAGATTAAGAGGCTTTCTATTCCATTCTTTTCCTGCCTGAACATTTTTTCAGATTAGGGCTCAGGACCTCTAAGAATTTTTTTTTTTTCAGTTAAAAAAAGAGTGATTGTTAAAGGAGAAGGAGAAACTATCCAAAGATGTTCATAATGTCCTCCCACCTCCTTCCCCTCCTGGAAATAACCAATATGAACTCTGTATCTTTCTATACCCCATTCACGCCCATATGTATACAAACACATATTCCCAGAGTATGGGTTGAAATGGGAATGAAGTTTGCAATTACTCTGAAATTGTTTGTTTGTTTTTTTTGAAATTGTTTTTTTCAAGATATATTTCATGGGCATCCCTCCAAGCCTGCTTCTCAAGGACTACATAATATTCCAACTGTGGGTGTTCCATAATCATTAAACACAATTTCTGTGTTTCTAACTTTTCATCACCTTAAATAAATATCGCCTTAAATATCTGAGTATACCTATCCTACATGCAACTGACTTTTTTCCCTATAGGATAGATTCCCCCAAAGATACATGACTAGGACAAAAGATTTATTTTAGTCTTAATAGACATCGTCAGAATATTTTCTTTTAAAAGAAAACTTTACCACCTGATTTTAATAATTATGAAAATGTTAAACATGTTGGAGGCACTGTACCTTTTGAGAGAACTCCTTAGTACCCTGAATACAATGAACATTATTTCTTATCTGCAATGTCTCATGCATTCTGTTAGTCTCATTGGTTCCTGTCTTCAAGGAGTTCTGTCTGGTTTCTTTTCTTTCTCATTGAAGTGTAGTTGATTTACAATGTTGTGTTAATTTCTGCTGTACAGGAAAGTGATTCAGTTATAGATATATACCTTCTCTCTTTTTACATTCTTTTCCATTATGGTTTATCATAGGGTGCTGAATATTATGATCTGACTATATAGTAGGACCTTGTTGCTTATCCATTCTGTATGCATTAATAGCTTTCATCTGCTGATCCCAGCTTCCCACTCCATCCCTCCGCAAACCCCCTCCCCTCTTTACAACCGCAAGTCTGTTCTCCCACCCAAGTATTAACCGGCCCGATCCTGCTTAGCTTCCGAGATCAGACGAGATCGGGCGTGTTCAGGGTGGTATGGCCGTAGACTACAACCACAAGTCTGCTCTCTATGTCTGTGAGTCTATGTCTGTTTTGTGTTAATAGGTTCATTTGTGCCATATTGGATTCCACATATAAATGATACCATACGGTGTTTGCCTTTCTCCTGATTCACCTCACTTGGTATGATAATCTCTAGATCCATGTTACTGCAGATGGTGTTATTTTGCTCTTTTTGTGGCTGAGTATATCCCATTATATATAAGTCTATATCTTCTTTATCCATTCTTCTGTCAATGGATATTTACTTGTTTCCATGTCTTGGATATTGTGAATAATGCTATGAACATAGGAGTGCATGTATCTTTTTGGATTATAGTCTTGTTTGGATATACACCCAGGAGTGGGATTGCCGAATCATAAGTCAAAATTCTAGTTCTCTGAGGAAACTGCACACTGTTTTCCATAGTGGCTGCACCAACTAACGTTCTCACCAACGATATAGGAGGGTTCCCTTGTCTCCACATCCTCTCCAGCATTGGTTATTTGTAGTTTTTAATGATGGCCACTCTGACTGGTGTGAGGTGATACCTACCATTGTAGTTTTGATTCACGTTTCTCTACTAATTACTGATGTTGAGTATCTTTTCATGTGCCTATTACCATTTGTATTTCTTTGGAGAAATGTCTATTTAGGTCTTACCATGTTTTGATTGAATTGGGGTGTTTTTTTGTTGTTATTAAGTTGTATGAGCTGTTTGTATATATTTTGTGTATGGTGAGAGGGTATATTCTAAATTCATTGATTTACGTGTGGCTATCCAGCTTTCCCAATACCACTTGTTGAGGAGACTGTTTTTCACATTGTGTATTTTTGCCTCCTGTGTCAAATACTAACCAACCACAGGTGTGTAGGTTTATTTCCGTGTTCTCTATCTGTTCCATTGACCCATGTCTGTCTGTGTCAATATTTGTAGCTTTGCAGTGTTGTCTGAAGCCTTGGAGGCTTATGTCTCCTGCTTTGTTTTTTCTTCAAGACTGCTTTGACAATTCTGGGTCTTTTATGGTTCCATATAAATTGAGGATTACTTGTTCTAGTTCTGTGAAAAATAGGTAATTTTTCTGTATCATGGGTAATTTGATAGGATTGCATTCAATCTGTAGATTGCTTTGGGTAGTATGGCCATTTTAACAATATTAATTCCTCCAGTCCAAGAACATGAGTGAGAGAGTGAAAGTTGTTCAGTCGTGTCCAACTCTTTTCCAATTCATGGACTATGTAGCCCGCCAGGCTCCTCTGTCCATGGAGTTCTCCAGGCAAGAATACTGGAGTGGGTAACCATTCCCTTCTCCAGGGGATCTTTCCATGTCCTTGAATCATCTTCAGTTTTATTAATGTTTTACAGTTCTCAGAATATGTCTTTCACATCCTTGCCCAGGTTCATTTCTAAGTGTTTTATTTTGGGGGATGCAATATATATATATATATTTTTTTTTTTTTTGCATTCCCTTTCAGTATTTCATTTTTAATGTCAAGAAATGTAACTGGTTTCTGTATGTTATTCTTGTATCCTGCTGAATTCATTTATCAGTGCTAGTAGTTTTATGGAATTGTTAGGGGTTTCTATATACAGAATCATGCCATCTGAATATAGTGACAATTTTACCTCTTCCCTTCCACTTGGATTATCTTTTCTTTCTCTTGTCTGATTGCTGTGGTGCTCTATATTCATTTTAACAGTTCACCCTCCCCCCCAGCAATGTATGGGTGTCATTTCCCTGCATACTCACCAGCACTGAATATTACCCCTTTTTAGTTTTTGTTAATGATGAGTAGAAGTATCATTATTGCTTTTATTTCCTTGACTACATTGAAAATATTTTCATATTTAGATTTTCTTTTTATATGAATTACCTGTTTGTAGCCTTTACTCATTTTTCCACGGGGTCAATTCTTATTATCATTTTTTGGTTTTTTGCACATTCAGGATAATGACCCTTTGTCATGTATTACAGATTTTTTTCCTAGACAACCATTTTGTCTTTTGTTTACAGTAGCTGTGGGGCTGAAAATTGTAATAGTTATAGATTCTATTTCATCTTAAAGTTCTGAAACTTCACCAGAAAGGCACAGCAAATATGTTCTAAGCTGCATAAAAGATCCCTGAAATTCAGTGAATGCTTGAAGTTTATCAACCTGTAGGAATCAGACTAATGCATCATTCTGCAGTCATTGGCACCTTTTTCTTAGTTATTGCTCGCTGCAGCTAAAATACAACTGGAGAGGGTTGAGGTGACTTCCTGGGTCTCCCCCTTCTGGCTCTCCCCCCTAGTTGAGTCTGTGGTGAGCAGTGACTTCTAGGCGGTTTTTCCTGCTGTACAAATCTCCAGTCCATAGCACATATGTAGAACTTCTGTCAGCCCAGCCTGCATCTTTTTCTCAAGCTGAAAATGTATTTATCAAGTTCCCCTTACGTAAGTAATGCGGTAAAGGAGTTTGCTGTAAAAAAATTTTCCATGTAAAAATTCTTTGTACTTCTTCTGTGTTTTCTACATGGTATAAAACTTTTACAATCTGCTAATTAAATATGAGTTTTGTTGAATATAGGTATTCATTTTACAGAATGACTCATTAATTGGCAGAGAACGCTGTTTCCTGAGAGCTACATGAGCTGAGGACAAACAGCTCAGTTGCCAAGATTCACTATCTGATGCAGTAGTGTTTTTCTGTTTTTGGTCACATACAAAATCCTTAAAGAATTCTGAATATCAAGACCAGACATATTACCTTAACCACTGAATCAAATTAATACTTAAAACCATTATTTAAAACCATTTTTAAGTAACTGCTTCAGAATCTGCACTAGTGTAAACCATTTCTGCCAGCTACCTGGGGAAGGGAAGGGAAGAAGAGGCCTACTAAATGTATCTGCCTTTATAAAATTCATTTGGAGAATATTATGCTTAGTGAAATAAATCAGAAAAATACAAAAAAAAAATTCATTTGAGAAAAATACTTAGATACCTAGTTTTCTCTAATAGTGGCAAAATGGGGACTTTCAGGGGGAAAAAAGCAAACAGGTGAAAACCAGCCACTCCAGATCAGTAACGCCTAGGGTTTTGTTTTTTAATAGAGTAGGAGTTAGCATAGATTCCACACGGTTTGCAGAGTGCTAATCCCGCTGTCATGAAGCAGAAAATAAAAGGGTGGTTTTGATGCTGAGACAACAGCTCAGTAACTGTGTGTTGGCAGTGGGCTCACAAGTAAGAGAAGCAACTCTGATGTAGTGTCAAAAAAAAGTAGATACTGTGGTCTAACTCAAGATTTGCTTAATTATAAGAGGAAAGGAAAACTACCTATTTGAGAATGTAAATCCATCTTTCTAATTACAAAGGTTAATAACAATAAACATCAACCCAATTCTTAAAGATGGCCTGGGATGGAAATAAACATTGCCTCATGTATTCTTTGATATATATTTTTAAACCTATCATTATCACAAGCCTTAACATATTTATATTCTGTGTCTCAACAATTCTGCTTCTAGAAATTTATGCTAAATGTATATGTATGGAGAGGTTATGGGCAAATTTTATTGTTTTGTGAATCTTTATATATTTTCCAAAGTTTATATGATGAACAGATACTAAGTTTGCCTTTTTAAAAAATGAGGGGAGGAAAGTAGAAGTATTCACTAGTGGCCTCAAGCCAAGGAAACTGAGTTTTTTCTTCCTCTTTCTGAATCTCATCATGACATGCACAGGTATATGCAGCAAGTTTTGTTGTAAGAGAACAATGACAGCCTGTACTTAGGCATTTTTGCTCTCAGGCCTTTTAGTAAATCATTTGATGAACAAACCCTCAGCCCTCCGAACAGAGGAACAGTGTCGGCTTTGGACTCGTTATTTTCTATTGATGAGGCTGTTAGGGAAGAGCTGCAGGAGGTGCGCTCTTACACAAGGTCCCAAGTGTCAGACCTAAGACGGCGATGGTTTGTCAAAATGGCATATGGCAAACAAGGCCCAACGCTGACAAGCAGAATTTACAAGGGTTTGAGTGAATGACGGCAGCCAGTGGCAGGAAAGTACAAGTTGATATTCCCCAAGCATGCAAAAACATACATTAATTTTAAACATACAAGCTTAGAGGAAGGAATAAAAGAGAATGTATATTCTCCGTAAGTATGTAGGAGAGAGTAATATGGAAACTGCTAGGTTTAATCCAGTTAGAAATTCTGATGTATACCCTGTGCAATTCTAGAAATACTGGCCACTTCCAAGTTGATGATTCAGTGCAGAGAACTCAAGACTGTTCCCCCGCCTCCCTGCTTTTTTTGCAGGTAAAAAGGGGTCACTATGGAGTTCAAAGAACAGAACTCTTGCCTGGCGACCGAGACAATCTGGCCATCCAGACCCGGGGCGGTCCAGAGAAGCATGAAGTCACTGGCTGGGTGCTGGTGAGTACCAAGCTGACAAGTGCTTCACCCTTAGAATTAAGACACAGCAAACCTGCTGGAGGTGCCAGTCCTGCCAGGCTCAAAGCACTCGCCCGCGCCTCCACATCTCTTTAGAACAGTCTTACCACAGAGCGGCTTTCTCTTTCAGAGGAAACAGACAAAAAACAAACAGCTTTATTAGGATGTTTTGGAAATGACCAAATAAATGAGAACCAATTTTTGCCCCCCAGGAGTTCAAAGCAAAAGGGAACTAAATGACCCACACATTAATCAGTTATTACTTTACTTGATCTTTGATAGCCATGGACATGCAAGGCTAGTGTCCCTACTTCTTAGATCACATACCCTACACAAGGGTCTCCCTCAAACAAGGATATGTGCACCTAATCCTGTTTTTAACCTATGCAGTGTGATCTAAAGTTGTCCATGGTTTTTTCTCATAGTAGGAATCCTCCTGGCAGAGCATTTGATAGCTACATAATTACTCCTAGCACAGGACTAGTACTATTTCTAGCAGCATCTTTGCCATGAACCCCCTTGGTCATGTTAGGAAACTTATTAAATGACTTAATTGAGGCCACTGGAAAAAGATGACCACCACAGAGAAACTGAAGATCTTTTTTTCTTTCACAGGTGTCTCCTCTTAGTAAGGAAGACGCTGGAGAATATGAGTGCCATGCATCCAACTCCCAAGGACAGGCTTCAGCATCAGCAAAAATTACAGTGGTTGATGCCTTACATGAAATACCAGTGAAAAAAGGTAGGTAATAAATCTCATAAGCATTTAAAAATGACTAGTGCTTTTGTTTGGGCTTCCCTATGGCTCAGGCAGTAAAAAATCTGCCTGCAATGTGGGAGACCTGGGTTTGATCCCTGGGTTGGGAAGATCCCCTGGAGAAGGGAATGGCAACCCACTCCAGTCCTCTTGCCTGGAGGATCTCATGGGCAGAGGAGCCTGGTGGGCTACAGTCCATGAGGTCGCACAAGAGTCAGATACGACTGAGCGAGTAACATCTGTTTCCTTAGTGCTTCTGATTAATAAAGCACAAAACCAAGTATAATCAGACAGCTCTTAATGAAATTCTGTTGATGTTAGGAATCCACAAGGGAATGGCATTAGTATGTAATCAAAACTTAGACTGCATGGCTCCAAAAGAACATTCAGTGGTTGATGGAATGCTATTATTATGACTTAGATGCTTTCACTTTATCTTACATGTAAGAGTCAAAACTCAAACCTGATTAGAATGGTTTATATTTCCCATAACTTTCTATCTATCTTCACCGCATTTTCCTTGATGTTGTGACTATTATATTAGATTCCCGTTTAAAAGGAAATGATTTGTAGACAATTCTGGTCCTTCACTTTGAGCTTTTATAAGAAAAAACCTGAAAGAGTATATTGGCAGGTATTCAATTCTGTTCTGCCTCTATCCACTTCACTGTCAATGAGAGTCATGCTACTTTCCATTTATATAATTCTGTTAGACTGATGTCTGAACTGGTTTTTTCTTAAGCCAAAAATAGAAACAAAATTTATTGTTAGCATTTGTAAAAACTATTCCACTGTGTGGACCACTTAGCTGTGGTATGAAAGGAAGAAATATGAAGTAAAGATGTTTGGTCAGATTCTTTTCAGCCAAGATGTGTAAAGCCAAGTGATGGAACAAACAGCAGTAGCTCAGAGGCATGTTTGAGCCTCAGCTCTGCCATTGATTATTCTACTTTCAATTCTGAATAAGAACTGGAAGACAAAGCAAAGTTCCTTAGTCTCTCTCTAGCTTATCTTGCTCATCTATGAAATGTGCTTCTCCCAGTTCTATAAGGTCCCTCTCCTACAGATGGACCAGTACAACAAAATCACCTTCCACATCTAAAAACCATATACAGACAGTTCAAATGCAAAGAGCACTCCCACTGTCCACCGTTATCAATTTATCCTCACACATTCTTTATCCCCACATTTTAACATCTTCATTTATTTGGAAACACTACACTACCTCAAAATTAGAAAATCAAACCATATCCATATGTGTAACTAACTTTTATCTTTTTTTTTAAACAGGTGAAGGTGCTGAGCTGTAAACCTGCAGAATGCATTAGTCTGCATAGCTAAAAGTAGTCGCGGGTAACTACAGCCCCCTGTTCTTGCCTAGTAACCAGTTTCTTTTCATCCAGTCCACTAACACTTTAGCTATATTCACTGATTTTACACAGTGAAATACAAAATTAAGATAACACACCAAGACTATCTACAAAAATTTATTGTCTATTTACAGAAGAAAAGCATGCATATCATTAAACAAAACAAATAAAGTGTGTTTTCTCACAGCGCAGTACATTTTTGTTTTAAAAAAAATTTTTTAAGCTGTATCATAGAAACAAGAGACAAAGATGTTTTAAAAGAGCTAAACACTCATCATTCGAGGTGCAATGCTCATCGACATGAGCTCCTGAAACAGCAGTTTGCACGCATAAGGCATTCGAACCAAAGAGATCTGGGGAAGGAGAAAAAAGAGGCAATTAGCAAAGCTGTACTGAAATAACCCCACTTCCCTACCGCCCGGAAAAGCCACAGACTTGGAACTAGAGGCGATGAGCCAATGAGTGGGCTGCTAACACTCATCCTAGCACCTTGGCCTGTGGTGGCTCTTTCTCCTAACAGGCTTTGGTATTTTACCCTTTCTGTCAGACTTAATTTATATTCACCTTTCTCAATGAAAACCTCATTGTTTAAAATTCCTTGTACAAGACCTTATTATTTCCAAAAGATGAAGAGCTTAGAGAAATTGCCACCCTAAAACTTAAACTAGTTTTTAGAAAAACAGAACTGATATCTTTTTCTTCATTTAAAACCAGGAATCTTACAGAAAAATGCTACCAAAATTGTGAAAACACCAATCTGTTCACCACACTAAATCTGCCTGGATGATTAGGCAAACATGGTCATGTCCTGAATAGATAATAACTGCCAGGAATACCTGGTTTTATTTATACATACCTGGGTTTTATTTCGGCAGCCCCTGCATTCATATGTATGGGTTCTGGTGTTAGCAATTGCCATTATTCCACAAAGATTGCAAACATGAACCTGATACGGATCTGATGCCTCAAACAATCTTTCCCTTAAAAACTGGGCTGCTCCATGGGCAATCTGACAGTCTCGTTCCATTTCTCCAAAACGCAAGCCACCATCACTATTATGGGAAAAAACAAAAGGCTATTTTGTACTGATTTTCTGTTACCAATACCACTTTGACTAATGGCAAGTATAAAAAGTAACATTAGTAAAGAATGAGAACTAGACTCCAATTTTTCTACTCTTGTATTCTGTCAACATGGTTAGGATGCTAAGAAGTCTACCAACTATTTGATGTGCACTAGAAGGTCCCCAAACAGAGTAAACACATTAGTTTCTTAAGTATAGCATATAGTTTTTCAAATAAAATACAATGACATACAGAATAAAATCTTCTAAGATTATTATTTAACTTATTCAAATTCATCTGTATGCTAAAAATTTAATAATAAAAGTTAATCTAAATAAAGTAGCTTCTCCATGAATGAGACTCCCAAGCAATCAAACCTGAAACAATAAATGCACATTGGCACAAGTAATGGAAAGAACAGGTCAATCAGTTACAGGTTTCCCCAGCTTAATAAGTGAAATGAAATGCACTGTTCTGCTGGCCAGGCAAGTAGATGGTATAGTATATAGTATATATACTATATATATACTATATACTATATTTATATAGTATATCTTCTATATAAAAGATAAAGAATGGTTTCATGGGAATATATATATATACACACACATATATATATTAATAAAATACATATGACTAAAGAGCTTCTAATGATATTACCAAAAACAAAACACTTGGTCAGCTTTAGAGGATACTAAGTAACCTCATCATTTTGAAAACTGGTAAATAAAAGGAAAGAATCAAGCATTTATCATGTCTTTTACTATATGAACTATGTCAGCAGGTAACCAGATGATGAAACAAAATTTCTCTCTATGAAAGTGTCCCAGCTAATAAATGAAGGAATGATAAAATTAGAATCTCATCAGTCTGCAATCCCTATTTAATTAAGGGTTTTAGGTAATGAACATTAATGATCATTAATAGCTACTAAAGTCACAAAAGAGAAATAACCAGATATGGAAAGTATATAATTTTGAATACTGCCTTTTAAGTATTACTATTAAAGAACACAAACCCTTCACCTCATCAAGGCTCTAGATCCAATTAGCTATTTACAAGAAATAGGCACACACAGCCCAGGAATGCAATCAACAAAAATCCAGACTGTGAGAGGGAATTCCCTGGCAGTCCAGTGGTTAGAGGGAATTCCCTGGCAGTCCAGTGGTTAGGACTCGGCGCTTTCATTGCTGGCGCCCAGGTTCAACCTCTGGTTGGAGAACTAAGATCCCACAATTCAAAAAATCAGTCTGTGAGAAACCCTCCATGACAAACAATCCAACAAATAAAGTGCAAGGAAAAAAAGTTGAAGGGTAACACACAGATTAAGAAAAAAAACTTGAGATGTATCAATCAACTGCAAAGCATGGGCCTTATTTGTATCCTAATTGAAACCAACAAACTTTTTTTTTTTGAAACCAACAAACGTTTTTTAAAAACTATGCAACTGTCAAGGAAATCTGAATACTAGATATTTAATAATATTAAGGAGGTAGTGTGATTGCTTTTATAACTTTCCTATCTTTTAAAGCAGGAGTTCTGAGAGTGGTCTGTGGATTCTGGAGGGTGAAATCTGTTTTTACAATAATACTGACACATTTGCTTCTTTCACTGTGTTGACATTTGCACTGACAGTTGCAAAAGTAACAGCACAAACCGCTGGCACCTGAACACATCACGTGGGCAGAACCATACGTTACTAGCAATCATATTCTCCAGTGTATCTGAAGGTGAGAAAACCAGTTTTAAATAAAGAATGCCATTAATGAAGCAGTAAAAAAATGATTAGTTTTATTCAACTTTGACCCCTGTGTACCTAGTTTTTAACAGTGATAAAATGAGTTCTCATAAGGCACTTTAGTTGTATACTAAAGATGGTGATCTTGAAGTAAAGTGCTTGCACAATTCTGAGCCAGTCACTTTTATCATGGAATATCTTTTATATTTGAAAAAACAGCTGACACCAATTATGTTAATCTGCCAACATTAGCACCAACTGTTAATTCAGCCTTAAGATATTTGGCAGACATTTTTTTCACTCAAGGAAAAAAATTTTAAATATTTTTTGTAAATGATTAAAAATTTTCAATCAAAAAGGAGAATTTTAGAAAAAGAAAACCTCTATCCAACCCTCTGAGCTTGATAACTTCCCAATACTTAAAAACTTTCTGATGACGTGGTGGTGATATTCACAAATGTGAAATTTTTTTTGGTATAATGAAATGTGTCAACATGTAAAAATCTACACAACTCAATGAAAATATTTTCCAAATAACCGAGACTACGAAACTATTTAAGTATAAAAGATGCAATCAAAGTATAAGACAGGCCAATGGGTTTCAATTTAAAAGATTCACTTAAGTGGTTCCAGATTCTACACCACAACTAACCTTTCAGAAAGGACAACTTGTCACTCTAGTGCAGCATCAAAAAAAAATCCATAGTCACCTGAAAATTACTAAAATATTCTTCCCTTCCAACTGTAAGTCTCTGTGAGGTCACATAGTTAATTATAAAAAATAAAATACTGCAATGGATTAACTGCAGAAGCAAACACAAGAATCAAGAATCTAGCTATCTTCTCACGAACCAGTTCATTAAGAAGATTTGCAAAAAGATAAACCAATGTCACTTATCACTAAATTTATCTGGAAAATATTTTTCACTTAAAATGTTATTTATGTTAATGTATAATGGATTTGTTACTATTATTTTTTAAACCAAGTAATAAATATTTTAAACCTTTCTCGTTTTTAATTTCTAACATGATAAATATCAAAAGATACCAGCTCCCACACAAAAGCCTTTTGGGATCCTGTAATCAAGAAATAGGAGAACTATTCTTTTATATAAGATCAATGATGCAGCTCTCTTACCGAGATCTACCCTCCATTGGCTGTCTATTAAGAATCTGAATAGGTCCCCGAGCACGAGAATGAATCTTATCATCCACCATATGCTTCAAACGCTGGTAATAAGTGGGGCCAATAAAAATCTGTGATGTGATTTTTCGACCAGTGAATCCATTGTATAAGACCTGAAACAAGCAGATTTTGAAGTACAGACTTAAAATTATTAAACAAGTTCAAAGAATATATGTACATATACTATACATTCCATTTCTATACAAATTAAAACAGACTAAAATAATCTATGCTATAAAAGGAGTAATTACCTTGGGGTTGGGGTATGAAGGTAGTGACTAGAAGGGGACACAAGAGAGCATCAGGCAGAAAAGGATTCTGATCATTTTCTTTTCAAGATCTGGGTGCCAGTCACACCTTTCACTTTGTGAAAATTTATCAACCTGAACATTTATGGTTTATGTATATATTTGAAATATGTAGTATACTTCAATGAAAGATTTATTTTTTTAAGAATGAAATAACACATTGCAAAAAAAGAGTATACTTAACAAATTACCAAAGTAAAAGCAAACATACCTCATTTCCTCTGAGATGGTAGCCATAATCAGATAAAAGATTAGAAATCTTCTGCACATTAACAGCATCATTGAATGGAGTGGCATCACCAATTTCACCCTTGTTAGCTGATACCTTTAAAAAGAAAAGTAATGTTTGGTTGCTTCCTTCTGTCTCTCTTTAGAAGTCTATGTTAATACAAATATAGTCAGTTTAAAATAAAAAAACCTTTCTAAGAAAGGGAAGATTGGGGTCATGGAATTGAGGTCACCATGATAAGGAGCATTCCAGCTCACTTCTACTCCTGGCTTCTGGATATCTTTGAATATGCCCTATTAATACTGTCACTGACTCACCTACTTTGGTGTTGCAAGAATTGAATTAAAATTGTGCAAGAATGCAAAAAAAGGGGGACGATTTTGAACATAAGATTACAAATTAACTTAAATATCTATGTTATAGAAAGCTGTAACATCATAAGGTGCATTTTATTAGCATCTTACATAAAATGGAACAAACTACCTATTAAGCCTTCAAATAGGAAGCTCTCTGTGAGACCACATACAAAAAGAATGTGACTCTCAATACTTCCTATGACTCAAGGAAGATGACATTTTAATCCTTAAAACCAAGCCATCCATGTGTTAAGCTGTAGCTACTCCACCTTAATAAGATCCTTAAAAATAGAAAACCTCCACTGAAAGACACATGCATAGCTAATATCACAGCTATAAAAGCATTAGGGTCACAATGAACTAACCACCACTTATAAAGGAAGAACCAATCAAAAGAATAACCATACATTCAAAGACTGTATATAGTAAATTTTGCAAGAATTTTTAGTCATAACTTTGCAAATTTTTGCAAAAAGAAAGACATAATCAAACCAATTTAAAAGCAGGAAAGTAAGTGTCACACTGGCTTTTTCCACAGTACCCTGGCTCAGAAAGAGAGAAATCACCTAACACTTTGGAAGAAACATCAATTTGAGACCTATATCTGTAAAGAAAATCTCTTACCTTCCCTTGAAGACATTCAATCAAGTGACCAATGGTCATACGAGAGGGGATGGCATGGGGATTTATGATGATATCGGGAGTGATACCTTCACAGGTGAAAGGCATATCCTATAAAGGAATTTTTTAAAAGACACTTTAAAAACTTAAATCTCTTAGCTACAGAACTACAACTGACTCCCCTTCATCTGAACTTTTCTATGTCCTAAACTCTGTTCAACATAGTATGCATGCTAAATTGCTTCAGTCGTGTCTAACTCTTTGCAACTCTATGGACTATAGCCTGGCAGGTGCCTCTGTCCATGGGACTCTCCAGCAAGAATACTAAAGTGGGTTGCCATGCCCTCCTCACGGGGATCTTCCCAATCCGGGATCGAACCTGCAGCTCGTTATGCTCCTGCACTGGCAGGTGGGTCCTTTACCACTAGCGCCTGGGAAGCACTCAACATAGATATTCACCTACTTGTTCAGCACTACAATTAAAAGTAAAGCCTTTAACTGCCTCTGGGCTCTTAAGTTAAAGCACATTCTAATAAAATGATCAATAAAACTGTGAGTCAGAGGTGATGAAAGATACCTACCTCCTGTCTATACTGAATACCACAAGTACCCTTTTGACCATGTCGACTAGCAAATTTGTCTCCAATCTGTGGAATTCTAACAGAGCGTACCTGAGTTCACATAAAAAAAAGTCAGTTAGGTCATTCTGGTTTACTTTCTATAAACAACAATATGACAAAGCTACACTTACCCTTATTTTACAAAACTTATATCCTTCTTGGTTGAGCGTTACCATGACCTGATCCACGATGCCAGTCTCACTGGTCCTGAGGAAAGTGCTGCAGTCTCTCTTTGTATAGCGTCTGTTAGTGCCCTCCAATTCATCTTCATTTTCAGGCAAGGTGACTGTTTTGCCTATAATAACGTCATCTCCTGAGACACGGACTCCAGGAGCTATCAAACCATCATCATCCAGCTTGTCATAAATAGCATGTCTCATACCTGAGAAGAAAGAGAATTTTCTGAAATGGTAATACCATAAAGAAAAGTATTTAAAATGTCACATAATCCCTCTCTCAAAAAGATTAAAAAGCAAATACATACATCAGTTTTAACCAGAGAGAAGTTCATAGGAATGTCTAACACATGTTACTGTAACATGCCCTTATTCCAAACATTACAAACAATTCTGAATTTAAAAAAAAAGCACTGGACTGAGTACTGTAAAATCAGGATTCTCCATTTGCTAAGTGACTTTGGATAAATGTGTTGCCATCTTTTGCTCCCTATATTACATGAGAAAGAGTTATCTATGTCCTCTATACAAAATCTCCCACAGAAAACTTGAATCTAAACTGTAACCTTAACTCCATGGAAAATCAGTTCACTACTACATAGAAGCACCCACAGGAAACGGGAATACAACATTTTATTTCATGCAATACTATTAGAAGCCAAAACTGTAACAAATATTCCCCAGGGACATCGCATCCATCCCAAAAGCTGTATATAGCTTATAAATGTCTGTAAAAACAGTAACTAGAAAATAAAGGTGAGTTTTTCAGAAGAAACAAAGCTGTAGACATTCTCGCATTATTTATCTGCTAAATATATACATATACTGTGGCCAGACAAACACTATGGTCACATCAGAATGTGAAGAGGGGAGGAAGTTCCCGTGCAAATACATAAACTAAGGGACAGGACACGGTACAAGTGAGAATGAGGCTGGGTGTGTCCCATGCAATTACATGGCCTCTCTACTTTCCTAAATCCCTTCCTCAATGCAGGACCTAGCAGAATAGAAGAACTATAGCAAGCCCACTCCAGGTGTAAAGACTTCTGGCAAATATATCTATTTCCTTAAATATAAGCTCTAAGAATGACAAGCAAACATACTCCCACACTGCAAAAAGGAGGGTGGGAAGACAAAACCCTGAAAAACTAATCAGGAGTTAACTTTAAATTCCATAATGTTACTGTCAGTATCACTTACCCTGGCAAGTTTCACGTGTAGGTTTCTCAAAAACTTCTTCTTGATCAAAGCCTTTTTTAGATTCCTGTTCTTTGTATGATCGATAGAAAACAGACCTAAAAATAAATGGTTCTAAAGTGAACTTTATTTTCCTTTAATAATACAACTGAGAACATACCAATAATTTTTACTTAGTTGATATCTGGTAATTTTAACCATAGCAACTAAACTATGAATCTAAGACAGGAGTTGACTATATGAAGGGTCAAATTTAAGTCCTAAGAGCTATTACACAGGTCACCCATGTAACATTTGATCCTTAACACAGCTTGAACTGTGAGAACAGGAAGATTAAGTCCAACCCTTGACCTAAAATAGGAATCCCTCCCAACCCTCAGAGATGGTCACCCAGGATCTGCCCCAGTATTTCTAGTGAGAAATTTATGATATTGAGCTATAATGTCCACCTCTGGTCTACTATCCTCTGACAATTATACAGAAAAAATCTATTCTCTCTTCTGAAGTCTCAGTTTTTTAACCAATTTTCACATGCCATGGATTTGTGATTAATGTTTGACAATAATCAAACTGAATAACAAAATAAGGCTGAAAAAGAAAACATACTATAATTCTAACAGTAGTTAATTTAAGGGCCCTAAAACTCTTAAGTTTATCTTTACTTCTTCTTTAGATACCTCTGTATTATCTAAATGCAAATACTTATTGGCTTACAAAAAAAGGTGGGGGGGCGGGTGGCACTAAAATATTAGTGCCTGAAAATACTCAGATACAAGAAGCAATGTCTTTAGCTGCTCAGGACCATCAGTTGAGCCTTCCACTCTCTGGAGCAGGACACTGATTTCACCATTTTAACCCCTATACAGGCAACCATAAAACAACCTATGTCCGACAGGTATCCACAAGTTTTATGAATGGAGACAGATTACCTATCTTAACAGAAAAATTTCTCTGCTGTCAGATCAAAATTTCTTGTCGCCTGACATTCAAAACCACCAAAACTTTGGACACGCACAAGTCACACCTTTTTTTTCTTTCTGGCTGTACCACGTGACACGTGGGACCTTAGTTCCCCAACCAGGGGAACCATGCCCCCTGCACGGAGGCACCCTGGACCACCAGGAATGTTCCCACACCTGTTTTTAAAAAACTTTTTAAAAAAATTAAAATATTAGTATTTCCACTATATCTGTATTTTGGAACCTGTTATAAATAGCTGACCTGAAAAAGCCTCGGTCTACAGCTGAACGATTCATGATAACAGAGTCTTCTTGATTATATCCAGTGTATGATGCAATGGCTACAATTGAGTTGATACCTGTAGTATATTTAATAGCAAACATTAAAGCATCACATGAGAAACAAAGAAAATCACCTTTCTTTTAAATCTATCTTATTTAACTATATTTACTGCAAATATTTTCACCATGGTAACTGTCAAAGTCTACTCCTCCTGGAAAAGCAATCTGTGAGAAAACTACTCTGATGGTTAAATGTTTAATATGAGCAAATCCTAACAGTAGTCACTCCCAATGACTTTCTAGTCAGCGATTATATACATGTAACTGCATATTTATAAAGTCCCTCCCCCAACCAGGTTTCATGATTCTCACCACAACCCTGTGCCATAAACAAGGCAAGTATTATTATTTGCATTATTAGAAAGATCTAACAAAATAAAACTTATCCATGATGTCAAAGTTAATAAGCAACAGAGTCGAGTCCCAGCTCTTGTCTCCTGACAAGTCTGACCCGGCGCCACCCTGCTCCTCCCTCCGCAGCCCTGCTCTGCACCTAGAGCCTCTCCCTACACTACAAAGAAAAGGGGTAGCATCTTTCTACCTCCATTTTACTTAGCTGCTACTGCCAAAACTACTTCTGATGAGACATTAAGACTTAGAGAGGGAGGTGGGAGGGGGGATCGGGATGGGGAATACATGTAAATTCATGGCTGATCCATGTCAATGTATGACAAAACCCATTATAATACTGTAAAGTAATTAGCCTCCAACTAATAAAAATAAATGAAAAAAAAAAAGACTTAAAATATCAAGTACTGACAAACAAAACTGATAAACCTTTAGCCACATTCATCAAGAAAAAAAGGGTGAGGGCACAAATCAAAAATTATATATGAAAACAGACGAGCTACAACTGACACCACACAAATACAAGGAGTCAGAAGAGATTACTGCAAGTGACTATACACCAATAAAATGAACAACCTAGAGGAAATGGACAAATTCTTAGAAAAAGACTGAACCAGGGAGAACTAGAAAATATGAACAGACGAATCACAAGTACTAAAATTGAAACTGTGATTTAAAAATTTCCAACAGACAAAAGAGTAGGACCATGTGGCTACAGAGGTGCATTCTATCAAACATTTATAGAAGAATTAAGACCTATCCTCCTGAAACTATTCCAAACAGTTGCAGAGGACAGAACACTGCTAAACTAATTCTATGAGACCATCATGACCCTGATATCAAAACCAGAGAAAGATACCACAAAAAGAAAATTACAGACCAGTATGCCTGTATGAACACAGACACAAAACACAGTATGAATGCAGACACAAAAATCCTCAACAAGATATTAGCAAACTAAAGAAAAAACAAAAACAAGAGTTACCACATAATCCAGCAATTCCACTCCTGGGCATACATCCAGAAAAGATGAAAATGCGACTTCAAAAAGATACATGCACCCAATGTTCACGACTGCACTATTTATAATAGCTAAGGTATGGAAGCAACTTAAGTGTCCCTCAACATGGTCAAGCTGTATAATGCAGAGAAAGCACATAAAGATGCAGGAGCCTCAAGGTAGGGGGGATCTGAAGATAGATGACAATTTGCAGAAATCCCAGGGTCTTGGGAGATGTGATGTGCTCCTACTGCTATGGAAGCCAGCAGCAGGACTTACGCGATGTTTATGATCCATGGAATGGGCAGGACGTCCCTGGCGCACCCTCACGACACAGTGCTCCCTACGGCCCTCGCTCCTGTCCAGGTGACACAGCCTGCAGGTGCTAAACGGTCTTGGCCCTTGCAGGGCCCTCCTCCTCTGCTGTGACAACCCGACAGCCCACACACACTATATCCACTACACCCCAGGAAGCAACCCCCTCCATCCTACAACCTTCATCCAAGGTACGCAGGCAAGTCTGAAAGATCAGCTAAATTTAGCTAAAAACAGTAAACTTCTGAATTTTACTTCTAATACTTTCTTCTTAGCTTAAAAGCCCCAAATCAAAAAACAATGTAGTGAAGAGAAAAGAGAACAAAAAAGGAAAATGGGGGAAAGACCTATTTCTGGTCTTAAAAAAAAAAAAAAGCCAGAGTCTGCATTCTGGGTTTACAAAATAAGTTGTACAACTTCGGGCAAATAACCTTTCTGATCCTGTCTCCACATTTGTAAAACAAAGAGGATACAACCACCACTATTGCTAATCAGCTAACATTTATTTCTCCCTTATTAAGTGCTAGGCACAAAGCCATGAGTTTTAAGTGGATGTAACCATTTAATCATCACAAAAGCTTTGAGGCAGTTTGTAGGTGAAAAAACATCACAAAGCTTTTATGATGCTTAGAAATAATATGTGTAAAGTACCTTGGACGGTATTTCACAAACTGCTCAAAAAATACCACTAATTTTTAAAACATTATCTGTTATCTCAAAGACTACCAACATGTGAAACCTAGGATTACAATTTATCTGTCGGTCAGGCTCAAACCCTTTCAGTCACTCTGTCCCCACCCACTTCAAACCTCAGCTCAGCACTAAGGAAGCTCTAAGTACCCTGACCCACTTTAAATCAAGGTGAACTTCTGTCACAAGGATCTTTGCTCCTAGAAGATACCATCCAAGGTAACAGTACCATATAGAAATAGGAATGATACTAATCAAAAGATCACTTAAGATAACCCAATCTGCCCCTTCCCCTTAGAGATCAGAATTTGCTCAATGTGGCTGGCATATTAGGCAGGGACAGAGCTAACTGTTTAGCCAGGATGGTCAGGAGATTGGTTACATCAACAGACGTAGCAAATAACTCAACACAGTGGGGACAATGGGAGCCAGGTTTCTGTCAGAGAATGGAATTCTAAAATAAACACTACAGTGCTGTACCGGGAGATACGGTATAAACGCACAGTTCTTTAGTATATATAGATATAAAAATAGAAGTGAGAGAAGTATATGCATACACATATTTTCCTAGCTCCGGCAGCTGAGAGGACCTAGAAATGATGACATTCTAATACCAAGGACTAAGCCCAGCACCCAGATTTTGGTTTCCACACACTATCCTTCACTGAAAGACGAAATGGCCAAGTCCAAGCTTAGACGAAGAAAAGCACAAGATGAGACAAAAGGTAAGGAAGTGCTTAAAGAATGATGAGGACCTAACGGAGTCATCTTGAAGATGCTCTCACTGGAAAATCTGGGACAATTTCAGCATCAAAAAGGAAAGAATGATAAAATTAGAAGATCACCATTTGGCAACACTTACACAGTAAACTAATGGCTGAAAGTGAGATAAGAAATGGGATATTTACATCCTTTCAAAGTATCTTCTAACAGAGACTTACTACTTACTTAATAAGATTGCTGGAAGAAATATCAATAACCTCGGATATGCAGATGACACCACCCTTATGGCAGAAAGCAAAGAAGAACTAAAGAGCCTCTTGATGAAAGTGAAAGAGAGAGAGAAAAAGTTGGCTTAAAACTCAACATTCAGAAAACTAAGATCATGGCATCCGGTCCCACCACTTCATGGCAAATAGATGGGGAAACAATGGAAACAGTGACAGACTTTTTTTTTTTTTTTGGACTCCAAAATCACTGCAGATGGTGACTGCAGTCATGAAATTAAAAGGCACTTGCTCCTTGGAAGAAAAGCTATGACCAACCTAGACAGCGTATTAAAAAGCAAAGACGTTACTTTGCCAACAGACGTCCGTCTAGTCAAAGCTATGGTTTTTCCAATAGTCATGTATGGATCTGAGAGTTGGACCATAAAGAAAGTTGAGCACTAAAGAACTGATGCTTCTGAACTGTGGTGCTGGAGAAGACTCTTGAGAGTCCCTTGGACTGCAAGGAGATCCAACCAGTCCATCCTAAAGGAGATCAGTCCTGAATATTCATTGGAAGGACTGACGCTGAAGCTGAAACTCCAATACTTTGGCCACCTGATGCGAAGAACTGACTCATTGGAAAAGACCCTGATGCTGGGGAAAATGGAAGGCAGGAGGAGAAGGGGACAACAGAGGATGAGATGGTTGGATAGCGTCACCAACTCGATGGACATGGGTTTGAGCAAGCTCCAGGAGTTCATGATGGACAGGGAAGCCTGGCATGCTGCAGTCCATGGGGTTGCAGAGTCGGACATGACTGAGTGACTAAATCGAAGTGGGCAAGTACACAATACTCATAATTAATAAAATGTGGAGAAGCCTGACAGTCACTATCTTAATTACATGATAAAATTGGAATCACTAACAATGGGACATAGACACAGCATATGCCTCCTGACACGATGCCCTGAGACTGAAGCACCACTGCTGTTAGCCCTGCCAAGAATTCATATCTGAATATAAACCACGGGAAACAACAGTCAAACTGAAATTGATAGACAATGTATAAAGTAACTTGACTGGACTCTTCACAAATGTGAAGGTCGTAAGAGACAAGTAAAGACCAAAGAACTGCTTCAGACTAAAGAGACAGGCAGAATCCTGGATAAGACCCCAGGCCCATAAAGGACACTATGAAGACAACTGGCAAAATCTGAACTGGGGGACTGCTGATTAGATGGGGATCAGTGTTGACCCCCTGATGGTGACAGCTGTACTGTGAAGCATGTCTTTGTTTTTAGAAAATATACACTGAGAAACTAGAGTGATGGGGCTTCCATGCCTGCAACTTACTTTCAAATGGTTTAGGAAGAAAAAGAAAGGGAAAGAACACTGCAAGTGTGGTAAAATGTGAACCTGGAGATCTGGATGGACAGTATACATGAGTTCTTTTTAACAGTCTTGCAACTTTTCTGCAAGCTTTAAATTATCTCAAAATAAAGTTTTTAAATAGCTAACAAGATTAAGGCATGACGCAGTAACAAAACTGAAAGCCCCGTGGTCCCTACCAGCCATGCCCTCACCATTCCATATCAGTGCCAAAGGAACATTCTATTTCAAATTCAATCCTTCGCCACTATTTCTTTTCTTCTCTAGCCATAAAGAAAGTATCATCTAAATGGGGAAGAAAACACAGGCAACACAACCAAAGATAAGGGCACACTGCAGACAAAGTAACAGATTTTGTTTTTCTAGTTTCTTTTTCTAGACAAGAGTAACCCCTTGTGGAGGACTCTGAAAATAAATCATTCTAAGCTGTGAGAATCTGCTATCAAAATGCTAGATCCCATATTACAGTAAGTGATTTAAAGCCATTATTTACAAGGTACACTTTACTAAATAATGTTATCCACAGTCAAAGCCAAAATTCTGCTAATAATATGGTAAGACGACAACTGTGCAGAAGAACCATGCTGTCTCCTTTATATTCAACTCTCTTATACCCTTCAGATTTCTCTGCACTATTTCAAGAGACTGTTGTTCTGAAATCTCTTCCTGGAAATTCCAGGGTTTTCTCCTCATCAGATCCATCTCAAATCTCTTCTCCTGATTTCTTTTCCCAAAGTTCTGGCTGTCTCTGACTTTATTCTCACACTGAATTTTCCCTGAGCAATTTCACAATCATCTATAATTACCATTAACATATCAAAAACTTCACAGCTCTTGACTTGACATTTCTTCTAACTATATTTGCTGTTGGAAGATCATTCCTGAGATGTGGTGGCAACTCAAAACCAACAAGTCAAAAACTGAACTTGTTATCTTACCTCTAAAACCCCTTCTTTCAATCTAAAGAGAGTGGATGTACGTATGACTGCCTTACTCGGCCATAGAGCAGAATTTACCACAACACTGTACACCAACTATACTCCAATAAAAATTAACTTTAAAAACAAAGCCTCTTCTTTCTCCTCACATGCTCCCAATATTATTAAGAGTCTCTCTCTCTGCCAGATCACCCAAGCCAAGAATACCAACAATATTTCCAATTCCTTTCTTCCCTCTCTTCATAATTTCACATCCAATCAGTAATCAAGTCCTATCAAATGTATTCCAACAGGTGTTTCAACCCCTTATACTTTTTCACTTCTTAGTAAAAACTGTACCAATTCTCACTTAGACCACTGCAAGAACCTCTAAGTTACCTCCCTACTTAATACCATATCTGACTCTATTTTTTAGGTGGTAGCCAGAATGACATTCAAAATAAACTTCCAATTGTATTACTTCCTTGTTCAAAAAGGCTAAACATTTTCATTCTCAAAATAAAATTCAACCCGCTGTCTCCATCTCATGAGATCAAGTGTCATTCCCATGCATTTACATTCCAGCCATACTAAACTGACGTAAGTACTGACAGCTGCCTTCATGCATCCAGGCCCTAGTTCAAACCATCTCTCAAATTCAATTACCCTTTCATCAACTTTACTCTAGGTGAAAATGCTACCTCCCCCATGAAATTGGCACTAGACTCCCATAGGAATCAGTCATTTCTTTCACTCTGTGCTTCCAAAGGAATCTGTATCTCCATTGTAACACTTTCCACACATTTACCTTTTTATTTAATTGTGCTCATATTCTCCTGCCACATTGTAAATTCTATGAGAACAGAGACTGTGTCATATGCATTTTATTAATCCTTCAAAGCACCCACAAAAATGTCTTAACCAGGGCAGGATCTTACAAAATGTAGAACAAAACTGAACATACCTGCTGGCAGCTCTCTAAATCGCAGATATTCCATAGACCGTGTAGTCACAAGTGGTTTTTGAGGATAATACAGAACATGGGCCAACGTATCCATACGAACATGAAAGTTGGTGATATAAACCCCCATAGCCTGCTTACCCATAGCAGACTGGTATGTGTTTCTAGGGGACTAAAAGTAGAAATGAAAAGCTGAATCAATGAAAATTTATTTACTTCTAAATAAATAAACAGACTCTACAGGGTACTTCATAAATCAGAAATATGGTTGGTAAAGTTTCTACTTTTTCTGGAATAAGGCAATTATGGCTCTTAAGAGTCAAACATAAGAATAAGCATATTAAATGCTGTAATCCATAGCCTTTACACTACAAGGCTTTTCTTTCAGAAAAAACTATACACTGATTTCTAATTTTTATTCTACTTCCCCCCCAATTCCTCACAAAGCATAGTTAAAAACTGGTACCAACCTGGTTATGATCAGGAAAAGGAATAATAGAGGCACAGACACCAAGAATCATTGATGGATGAATTTCACAGTGTGTATATGTGGAACAATAAGCTACTTCTTTCTCCTGTAAATCATCTGGGGTCATTGCAAGCATCACTGTTTCTTCTTCAAGAGTATCAATATATTCTACCACCCCACTGGCCACAAGATCCTGCCAACTAAAAAAGAAGAATTCATTTAATTTCCTTACCTCCTCAACTATCTTAGTTAACCAGGCTCCCTACTTAATAAAGAGTATTCCTGTATCTGTAGACCATTACAGTATACTAATACATATATATGGAATTTAGAAAGATGGTAACGATAACCCCTATATGCAAAACAGAAAAAGAGACACAGATGTATAGAACAGACTTTTGGACTCTGTGGGAGAAGGCGAGGGTGGGATGTTTCAAGAGAACAGCATCGAAACATGTATATTATCTATGGTGAAACAGATCACCAGCCCAGGTTGGATGCATGAGACAAGTGCTCGGACCTGGTGCACTGGGAAGACCCAGAGGGATCGGGTGGAGAGGGAGGTGAGAGGGGGGATCGGGATGGGGAATACATGTAAATCCATGGCTGATTCATGTCAACGTATGACAAAAACCACTACAATATTGTAAAGTAATTAGCCTCCAACTAATAAAAATAAATAAATAAATAATAAATTTAAAAAAAAAGAGTATTCCTGTATCTGTATGTACTCATATAGGAAGAGTCCTAAAATATGTATATTATTGTTAACAGTGGGGAAAAAAAAGTTACTGAAAAATACACATAAAGTATGGCTCTGGAACTACTATTAGTTTGTTTTTATCTGCTCTCATCTAAAGAACCTACTTGTGCGGCTAGAGGGTGAGTATATAAAAACAAAGAATAAGGTCTGGAAGAATATATATCCGAACTGGTAACAGAAATTACTTTCGAAAAGGAAGGTGTGAACTGGAGGCTTTTAGACATTTTATTACACCTAATTTTTGAAAAAAATTTTTTACAACAAAACTATATACATTCATATATCACTAATAATAAATTGTAAAAGATTCTTCTTATTAAATTTATTATTTTGTTCATATGTTATATATTACTTCATCACATAGGTTATTTCTTTTTCTTTGGCCACATCACATGGCATGTGGGATTCCAGGTCCCTGACCAGGGATCAAACCCAAGTCCCCTCCGAGCAATGGAAGCTCAGAGTCCTATGTAGGTCATTTTTCATGAGTAGAGATAGTCTTTACCATGTCACAAAGACTTTTATTCTTAAATAAGACCATACAAGTCTCTTGAAGGAAAGGGGTAAGTCACTCAGTTGTATGCAACTGATAATGACCCCTTGACTGTAGCCCGCCAGACTCCTCTGTCCATGGAATTCCCCAGTGCAGAGTGGGTAGCCATTCCCTTCTCCAGGGTATCTTCCCAACCCAGGACTGAACCTGGTCTCCTGAATTACAGGCAGATTCTTTACCATCTGAGCCACCAAGGAAACCCCAAGTCTCTTACTTAAGAAAAATTAAGAACAACAAATGTAATAGCTTATGAGTACAGAGTTTCTTTTTTTGTTTTTTGGGTCAAAGAAAATATTCTGGAATTAGATAGTGGCAATAGTTGTACAATCTTGTGACTATACTAAAAACCAATGACACACTTTAAAATGTTTTATGTCATGTTAATTATATCTCATTTTTTTCCCTAACTGCATGTTCTTACCTGTAATTGTTATATTCTCTCTCTTTCAATTGATCAATGTGTCTCTTCTTCAAAAGCAGCTTTTGTTTTTCCACAATTAGAAGTGGTCTACAAATACGGCCTGCATCTGTATAGATCCGAATCTCCCTCTCTCGAATATCTCTGATCATAGAAACCTATACATAAGAAGACAAAATAGTCTCATGAACTTATATTTTCTCTGTATCATTAAGGCTGAGATAAAATAATAAATTATCAGATAAAACTAACAGATCTTAGTTGATCATTGTTCAGTATGCTAAAAACCTAGGTATAATTTAAAATTAGCCTTGATAATTATAGAGCTGAACAACATCTAGTAGTAATGTCATGCCAAATAAAATATGAAGAAAATGTATTTTGGATATCAAAACACTAATATGCGACAATTTCTTATTTCTGTCTCTGATAATTACATTACTTCACTGTGTAACCTTTCCATATCCAACCCTGTGTCACTGCTTCAATCAAGCTTTCCCAGTTGTAAGCCTGACTGCTCATGATAGTCTATCAGCAAATGGTTTACAATCTAGATGTCTAATGCAGCAGTCACTAGCCACAAGTCACTACTAAGCACTTGAAATGTGGCCATTCTAAAAGGAGATATGCTCTAAGTATAAACTACTTACTGAATTTCAATGATAAAATTTATCACTAATAATTTTCCATGGATTGTATGTTGAAATTGTACTATTTTTGATGTATTAAGCTAAACAAAACATTTATTTTCATCTATTTCTTTCTTTCTTTTCTTTTTTTCTGCCACACAACGTGGCTCGTGGGATCTTAGCTCCCCGACCAGGGGATGAACTCATACCCTCTGCGGTGAAAGCACATAGTTGGACCACCAGGAAATAGCCTTTTTTTTTTCCCTTTAATTTTTTTTAACATGACTACTAGAAAAATTTAATTGTCTATGTAACTTACATTGTATTTCTACTGGATAGTGCTAGAAAATATATTCCTGGAAAATATCAAAAATATTTTGGAAAAATTTACAATAAAGAACATAATATTAAAAGCACTACAGAATTTGAAGTGCCAATATCAAGAAGTAAACAAATAAAAATTTCCATTGAATATTCTAGATCTAATATATAATCTTAAAAGTCAACTAAAAAATGAATTGCTAATGAGCTGGGAAATGGAAAAACAGACAGGTATTTCTACATAAAAGTACTTTCAAAAAGTGAAATCACAACTGGATACTCTTCTTAAAGAAAAGATTGGGTAGGGAATTCCCTGTTGGTCTGCGCTTTCACTGCTGGGGCCCAGGTTCAAAACCTGGTGGGGGAACTAAGACCCCACAAGCCATGTGACATAGCCATGGAGAAAAAAAAAAGATTGGGTTTATTTAAAGAAAAAGTTTGGATTATTCAGTTTTAAAACAACAGTAAATCATTAAAGCTTAATCAAAAAACACTAAGTTCTCCCAAAGTGTAAAGAGTCAAAAGCCAAGAAAAAGAAAATGTCCCACATTCTTAAGCCCACTTCCTATCCTTAGAAAAAATCTTGAGATGAAACTGTGTGAGAGCAAAAACACCATGAACAGCATTCTCAAATGCTTTCCCTGAATCCTTAGAGAATTCCTAATAGAATATAAAATATTATATTATAATAACAGAAAATAGCTCTTTTGTCTTAACAGAAAGACATAACTGAGCTGTGTCTCCTCAAAGGCCAAACAGAATCTTGTATTGCAAAGGAAACAAGTGTTCTCGAGAGACTACAGACAGGAAAGCCTAACAGGTCCAACACAAAGGTAAAGTCAGAAATGGATAAGATGAGAACCTCTGGTTATCAGAAAACATAAAGGAAAAGAAAAAGAAAAAGTACTAGACTCCTAAAAAATATATACAATTCTCCTACTAAGAGGCTCCCAACAACATTCTCCAACAGGAGATTAAACAGCCCAGTTCAAGGACACAGGGCCCATTTATAGTTTCAACAAACACTCACTGTCAGACACTACATACCAGGCACCACACTCAGAGCTGAAAATACAAAGTCATATTAAGACACATTCCTTGCCTCTGAGAAGTTAACAGTATAGTGAGAGAAGCAGGCATATAAATCAATAGTTACTATCTGGTATATGCATTCTGTCAGAACTCATTCAAGGAAAATATGCTATATATAGTCACAGAGATAGGTCTAAATCAGGGGCTCAGTGAAGAGCCCAACAGACCAAATCTGCCCTTACCTGCCATCTATTTTTAAAAAAATAAAGTCATACTGATTTGTGTACTGTCTATGGCTGCTTTTCACTACAACAGCAGAGCTGAATACACAACAGACACTTAAGGCGAATGAAGACTGAAATATTTAATATATGATCCTTTAAAGAAAATGTTTGCCAACCTCTGATCTAAATCAAACTGGGGGCTCAGCAAAGTATCCTGAAGAAGACAAGAGTTAATACTAGTGAGTTTTGCAGAATTAGTGAGATTTATCTAAAATAAAAGTAAAAACCCCCTTCTCCCTATTACCCGTTTCTGAGGAGGCATGGGTGACAGGGAGCACAGCATTCCAGGTTGAGGGAAAGGGCCCATGGAAAGGTAAAGAGGCCTAAACAGCAGGAAGAACTTAATTTTATCCTAGAGAACACAGCACCAAACCTCAGCAGAAACAAATGGCATTAACAAAATTCTCAATCATAAAAAAGACAGTGCCAGTTCTTGGGCTTTCTCTTATCTCTGCCCACTGCCCTTAAGTGAAGCAAGCTGCTCCTGACTTCAAGCTCTGAATACCCCTGGCTCAACACCCAGAGTCTGCCTGCTAGAGAAAGACTTGGAGCAGCCAAACCTGATTCTCTGCTATGCTAGGTAGACAGGTGGCCAGCTCAAGTGTGTTAGCTTCTCTTCAAATCCACTTTTACCCAGAAAGACCCAAAGGTGCAGATTTGGGGAAATCAAAAAAAGCCTGAGTCCAGCCCTCAACGTATTACACCAAAAGCAAAAGCCATATTTTGGGGAGGAATAAAGTTCATTTGGTATTTTGATGTTTAAAAAAAAAAAAAAATCCTATACCCAGAGCATGTCAACATCCACCTAAACATAAAAGAATCTAATAGAGGTGTACCACATTTCAAGAATCAATCTCTGAAAAACCACTGCAATGCTGTAAAGTAATTAGCCTCCAACTAATAAAAATAAATGAAAAAAAAAAAAAAAGAATCAATCTCTGGATTCCAACAAAGGAGGTTATCAGAGATGATCATTCCCTTTTTAAAAGCACTGTCAGCTTCACAAAAAGAGTCTCAAAAGAATATACTTTAAAATGTAATCTGAATTCCAAAATATAATAATAAATTACATGTCAAAACCTTAGATGTATATATCTAAGGCATTAAAGTAAGCAATACCTTATTATTAAATCTAGCTCAAAACATCATCTAGACTTTTGACAGCGTACTTTAAAATTCAAAGGACAACAGTTCAAGAAAGGTATCAATGCAAAGATAACTTTCACTTAGCCTTATACCTTGTTCAGAAATCCCAGAGATCACATCCTCTTAAATAATTAAAGATTCTTACTTCAGACACAATGATGTCCATCTGACGCCGCAACTTCCGTAGTGTGTTCATAAGTTGTTCAGGATCTTTATGTATTCCAACCCAACAGCCATTAACAAAAATCTTGGTTGCACTAAAATAGAAAACCAAAAGTATTTTGTACTTAGTAACTCTGTAATAAGCTATAACCAAAAATTAACAAGTTTTCTTTTAACTGTATCTATACAAACTCAGCAATAGCTGCAGGAGAAATTTCTTCTAAATTTTCCATACTCCATTCTTCTAAAAATTCCAGAATTGGAGAAGGTTGAGATCCAACTGAAATATAAGCCATCAGGGCTAAATTCTTCACAAGTCCTACAGCATGACCCTTGGAATAAATAAAGCACATATTACTCATACTGATTTAACATGCCTTTCAGAATTCTTTTCCACACTTCTCCAATTTGATTTCAGGATATATTCTTACTTCCTAAAAATGAAATTATAATATCTTAGTTCTCTACTACACTTAGATAATTAAATAAAATTAAAAGGTACTTATAAAAGTAATTATACTCTACATGATAATTCTTGTACTTTTTATCTTGAACATAAATTCTAATGTATTACCTCTGGGGTCTCAGCAGGACACACCATTCCCCATAATGTATTATGCAATTGTCTGGGTTTTGCTAGCTTGCCATCTCTACCGATGGGAGAATTTAAACGACGCAGGTGAGAAAGAGTAGATGCAAAAGTCAGGCGATTTAATACCTAGAAAACAATAACAAATCTTTATAGAGCTTGGGCATTTCTGTTACTCACACTATCATATTTGTGGCAATGCTAAAATGAGGCAAAGTCATATTTTCACATATAATCCACTCAGTGTCCAACTGTTTCCACCCTTCCTTTCTCCTATCTGCTCTGGATAATTCTGTTCACTCTTGTAACTTAACTGATCCTTACAGCAAGGACGGCAAACATATGACGTACAGTTCTAACATGCCACATAAATGTTTTATGGCCTATCTCCAAACATTTGGATGTTAGTGGGGGTTTTTAACTTGTTTTGTTCTCCACTGTATCCCAGTACCTAGAACAGTCCTTAGCAAACATCAGGCACTAAGTGTTACATGCTACCAGCTCTCATTCCTTTGACCATAGCAAACCTCACTAACCCATCCCAGAACTTTTTCCAGGCTGAAGCTTCTGAACCCAACACAGAGATTCAATATTTACAGAACACTAAGCAAGGTAAGACTTGTGTAAGTATGGTAATATTTAGAGAGATATAAAGCAATCAACACCATCTCAGTGTACCTAGTAACACATCACCTCTTTCCCCACACCTACAACAATCCATCCTCTTTCCTCTTCCTAAATCTCCTATCATAGTTCCCTTTATCTCCCAACCTAGAAATCTCATGACATCTTTGTCTCTGACTTCCTCCTTTCATACATTAATAAACATATCCTGTCAACTCTATTTCCCAACTTTCCCCAAAAGCGAAATCGTCCGTTCCCAATGTCACAGCAAACAACCAGCTCCTTACCTCTTAATCATCAGCTCCTAAGTCCCTGCAATGTCCTCTCCAATCTACTCCGCTCAGTTATCAGAATTATTAAAGCACAGATACAGGTAAGTTCACATCACTCACCGAATTAAAAAATATTAGACAGTTCCCCACCAGCTAGAGGAGCATGACACTGAAGCTCTTTTCAAGGAAGTCCCAGACAACCTTCCCCTCCCACAGTCTTCAGAACTCCTGTGCTCCGCCCACACTGCCAAACCCTCCTCACCTCCACAACTCTGACACGCAACTGCCACGGCACGGGATGCACTCCCCATACTGCTCTGCTTGGGGAAACTCTACCACTTCTACAGAAGACATCTGACCACCTCCAGGAAGAACTGTTCTCTTCTTTCTGTTCTATGGAGTTTTCCATCATTCAACCAATCACAAAGCTTTCCAAACTTCCTGTATTTCTCAGATCTGACACCACTCTCTATCTCCATGGAACTGTTCTACTGCAGGCTCTAACCGTTTCTCACCCAGCCTGTTGCAACAATCTTTCTGCCACCAACTATGCCGTTCTCAAATCTTTTCTCCACAATGACATTTACTGTGAAGCTACCTTAAAAGCAAAAATGAATGCCCCTCTACAAGGTGTTCCCAAGATCCCTTCTCCAATCCCACCTTTCTAACTCTCCCACTTTGATTTGAAAACACTAGAATGATCTAGCTCCTCCCACATACATGTGCCCTTTTCTCCCTCTGTCCCTCTTTTCAGGATATTAAGAAATTTTCTCCAGTTTTCCTATGAGCTATTGGTTCTACCCTCCTCCAAGGATTGGGCTATTTCTCAACTAACCTTCAAAATCCAGCCCACGTGCCACCTCCTAAAGAAAACATTTCTGTTCACACTCTCGGGCAGTGCTATATGCCTTTCTCCAGCACGCCCACAGAGCAAACGTGAATAGCTCTCATTTAATACTCCCTGTACCGTGCCGTAATATCTGTTTACATCTGTGAGTACAGACTGTAAGCTACTGAAGACCAGGGATCATGTTTTACTCATTCTTTACAGATCCAATGTGTGACAGTGCTCTTGGCACATCTTAAAACCCAGGAACTGAACTCAACTGGCAAGATGGCATTTATCATAATTCGGCTCAAGGCATGGTGAGACATACAAGGACAAATGTTTAATAGATGGTGAGCTCCTTGAGGGCTGGAATCAACCTATGAACCCAGCATCACAAACACCAACTAGAGTCAACAAATCCTTACTAAACTAAAAGAAACTAGGAATTTAACTGGGCTATAAGCATGCTTCCATAATTCTTAAGATATTTAGGCTTCCAGGAATCAGGAGGTTAAAGTTGGTGTCTGAATGCCAAATTACTCAGGTGATGCTGGTGCAGGCTTGTTTTTTTTAAAAAAAAAAGAAAAGCAAATGAGGGGGAGATCCCTTCCATAAAGCTAAACATGTACATGTTAAGTTTTAAATCTCATATGAAAAGTAATTACGAAAAATAAATAAAAACACCTGGTGAGACATTTTTGTAAAATGTTTCCCCCATTAATCATTCTGAGAGTACCTACTGCAGTCACTGTACATGAAACAGGGCAACATACAGAAATCAGTATTACAAGTATTACATTACACAAATTAATTCATTCCCTGGGTATCAGTTTCTAATGTGGAACTTTTAAGACAAAAATTTCATGAACATGACTGTTTTACCTCCTAAGAACCTATGTGAATTTATCAGATATCTTGATGAGAGCCAAAACTTTAAAATCTCTTAGTAATGCTAACAGCTAACTTAAGAAAATTTTCACCTTCATAATTCAAAAGCCTCCAGGTGCTTTTATATCTGACCAAGAAAAAAAAAAGGGAAACAATTTACATTCAATAAATGAAGATTCTATTAGTTTCGTAATGCTTTCTTACCAAACCTGTAGTCACAGTTGACATCCTTACCTGAGATACTCCAGCTCTGGCTTGATGAGCTTTCTTTTGATCACCCCAGTTTCCAGTAGCCAAAGAATATTTTAGGCCATCAGATATAATCCTTGTTTTAATTGCCAATTCCAAGTTAAAATCTTTTCCACGATCAATGAATTTCTGGGCATAGATCCGTACTTCTTTAAGCAAATTCTTAAACATTCTGCCCAATAAAATGTTTTAAACATGTCAAGGTCTGTAATATGAATTCTTTAACAAGGACACTGTTACCCACAGGAGGCGAAGAGTGGTTGAGATGGGGGGAGAGGTGGGTATTCTTTTTTATATAAAAAGCACAGATGTACATACAGTACAAAAACATACACAAGCAAAGCAGTAAGGGAAAAAATAGTCGAAAGAGGGTTCCTTAGTGGGTGGTAACAAAACAAGGTTGAAAAACACTAATATACAACACAATAAATAACAGAACATGCACAAAACATTGCTAATATCATTTTTGTGCTGAATTGTCTACCTAATTTTTACAAATAAGTTTTTCCAATTACAGAAGTAGTATATGTTCATTATAGAAAATATAAAAACATATTAAGAATAAAATAAAAATCATGTATAACCTTAATTCTGACACAACCACTGCTTCCTCTCTCGTTTTTGTGTTTTTAAAAACTGCAAAGCAGAGTTAATAAAAATTCCAATATCAGCACTCAGAAAGTCAGTCAATAATTGAGGTTTCTCAAATGCTTTGCAATGGTGGAGAGGAATAAAGAAAATGTACACAAGTGATAAACGTCCCCACAATCTTGAAATTCTCAGATATGAAGCAGAACTAAACTGCACAACTGGCAAAGAACGTAGCTAACTTCACATGTACCCATTATGCACGCCAAGATAGTTTTTTAGCACCCCCATGTGCCATAACCAATCTAAAGTGAAATTTATCTTCTTTTAAGAGTATCATTCTATAATTTCTTACCCTCTAAATAAGAATGCAAGTAGTGGTCCAGCAAGGTCCAATCTTTTGTTTCCATAGTGATCTCTGTCATCTAATTCTCTTCTACCCAAAGCTGCTAGCAGCAACCTATGAACCATGTACCTTTAAAAAAAGAAAAAGAGAAAGCACATGGTTTTGGCTTTCTTTTTTAACATATATTAAAAACACCAATTTTGACATTTTCAGCTTTAAGAAAAACTTCATCTCAACCACATCTTAGCAAAGAACTTAAAACAATGAAATATGACCTACCCCAAGAAATAAGCTTTCTTTGTCTCACAAAAATCACTGACACCAACATGAGGGAGCATTTCTTTCTGTAATACTTCCTTGGCATATTTAATTCTTTTCTCTTTGGTAACACCAGGCTTTGCCCCTCTTGAACCAATGAAATTTAGTGCAACATTCTGTTCTTGGATGACAAAAGCTTCATCGAGTGATGGTTTAACCTATCCGTTAATTAAAATAAAATTATTTTTGAATTCATTATCTTTAAGATAAGGCAAATGTCAATTTATAGTATGTTAAATATCCCTATGAACACCTAACTAAATATGCAAATATTTTTAAAAATTCAAGGAACCACAAAATCCTAGAACTTAAAAACACCTTATTGATCTAGGGAACTCTGAAAAAAATGATCAGCATGGACAATCATACTTTCCAGAAAAATACAAATAATTCCATTATAACAGAGCACAGTGGGTTTGAGGTTTTTTTTTTTTACATTTTAATAAACAATAGCTTAAAAAAAGTTCCTTTCAAATATCTAAAATCAATTTAGAGAAGTTTAACACCCAAACTAAGCTCAAATGAATAAATGTGTCATAATGTTTTCAGCCTTGGTTTAAGAGGTTTATCCTTTAACTATCTAAATACTTATCTTTAAGTATTAAGGAGAAAAAAAGCATAACTATTGCCAAAAGCTTAAAGTAAAATCTAAACAGAATCCATTTTGTCATGTAATCATATCAATACTCTAAAATATACTTCACTTTCTAACTTTGTGACCAATGTTTAGCCTATATTTTACTTTATTTCTCTGTAGTCTTAAAGACTTTGGATAATTCAGCACAACTTTAAGAATACCAAGTACTCCTTAGACAAGGATGATTGATGAGGAAATGCATATTTATCTAGACTCAACAAACCCTCCCATAAAAGTAGTAACTTTACAGTGGAGGAACCTAACAGCTGCCGCTGTGAAGTTAACATTACCAATGATGGGACAAAATGACATCATGTGACTCCTGATGTGATGCCCTGGGAAGCACACAATATGACCTCTAGATTTGTCCTGCCAACAAATGGCGTAAACTGAATCTAATCATAAGGAAATATCAGAAAAATCCAAGTTGAAGGATATTCAAAATATAATGGCCTACCCGCCTGAAAAACTTCAGTGTTATGAAACAACAGAAAGAGACAGGAAGATTAAAAGAGATTAAGCAAACATTAAAAACAACATGTAACAGATGACTGACTGGACTTTGAACCAGGGGAAAAAATGCCCTTAAAGACACTGTCAATGTCTCTGGGAAAAACTTGAATATCTCCAGGTTAACAGTACGTACTACACCAAAATACCAATTTTCAAAACTGCACTATGATTATGTGAGTAAATATCCTGATTCTTATGAAATACACACTGAAGTATTCAGGAATAAAGGGGCATGATGCCTAAAACTCACTTTCAAATGATCCAGAAAAAAACAATGTATATACATAGATAAAAAGAGTCCTAAAACAAATGTGGCAAAGGTAACAGCTGCTAAAGACAGGCACAGACTACATAAGAGTTATCTGTAACTTTTCTGTAAGTTTGGAATGTTTTAAAAGTAAAAGTGCTTTGTTTTTTTAAAGATACCAACTCTTCTGTTCCCCTTACTAAACTGCATCAGACTAGTGTGCCTATACGATTTTCCTTATTACTATTATTTCTGCTTCACTGCTGTCAATGAACTCTGGCTGCCTCTAGTTTTCAGGTCAATTTTACATACCATTGTCAGAAAAAGAAGTCAAGGCAGGGCTGAAGGCTTTTGCTATACAGTGAATAGAATGGGGTTTACAACAGTTAAACTGATCTTCAGAGCAGCGTTCTTTTGTGTTTTACGATTAGCGTCAGTAACTTTAAATCTCTTAAAAAACACTATGAGTACATTTTGCTTGCACATTACCATTTCCATCATCTCTGGATCTTCAAAATCATAAATAATATGCTCTAAAATATCTCTGTCAGACACAAAACCTAACGCTCTAAACACAATAATGATGGGAACTTCTTGCTTGATATACGGTAGGGTTGCCACAATACGTTGACCAATAGCACTCTTTTTTGCACCCTAGGAAAAAAAATCATTAGAATGAGAATACAGAGATTACAGCCATATATAAACATCACAAGAACGATTTCACATAAATGTCCGTTGTATGTATTTCAAAAAAAGCATGCCTCTCATGCCTTTCATATTCTAAGGAATTTCTCATACTCTAAGGAAATACTCACATTCCTACGGCTGCTTTTCAAAAACCACTGCAACAGGTTTACTTATTTGACAGACAGGCTGGTCATTCAGACCTGAGAGAATTTCCATTCTCTACTTTCTGTTTGCCAAGATTCTCTAGAACACCTCAAGACTGTATCCAGAAACTCTGACTGCAAAAGAACATAAACACAGACTACCCTTCGTCCTTTCCCCCAACCAAAAAAATTAGGAAGTTTGGAAGAAACTGATGAAGGAAAGATAAGAGAGACAATAGATAGGCAAATGTGGGAAAAAGCTAAGAACAGAATGAAAAATAAATGGAGAGTTGGTCGGTGAGGTATTTCCAAATATGAATGATTATTCAATATTAAAAAACAGTCTCTTTCATATAAGCTTCTCTTCTACAATTTCTCTCTTCAATTGCACACAGAAATGAAATAAGTCACCAGCGTTCACTGGCATACAAACACGTGGTATCTCAATTTTAATCAAATTTCTTTCCTTTAGTATCAAACTCTGTCTTCTCTTAGCCTCATAATCCTACATTATCATGGTCCATTTAATAACTGTTTCTGTTGTCTTCCTCCTACTTCAGGCCTCCTTCCTTAGAAACCTTATTTCATCTCACGAGTGTTCAGTAACAACTTTTCACAAATGATACCTAAATCTTCACCTTGGTCTTTTTCCTGTACCCACAATCCTCACAACTTCAACCTCCCTTCGATTGTTTCAACAATTATTCCACCTGTTTCATCACAGACCTTTTTCAGAAAATGCAGAACATTTAAAAAGAATGCCTACATCATGTACTGCTCACATCACTACATTCTCTCTAAAAATCAATTCTTGGAAGTTCCCTACTTTATCTTAAACCTCAGGATATAACAATACAATCTTTTGTTTTCCCCATGGCTGCCTATAGGCTACTGACACTCATAACCACAGTGTTTGCACTTCAGGCAGACTGACTAGTCATCTTTTGGGGCACACGCACTTGAGGAGCTTAATAAGGTACAGGAAATTCAATGGCTGAGAATACTAATTTCAGTCTGTTTGTCAGCAAGCCTCAAGGCCCAACGCAAATAATTAAACTCCATATCCTAATTTGTAAAGTTCGAGAGGTGATGGAAGGTTTCAGGTTGTTATAAAATAGCTACTGTGGGCACAAACAGGCAAAAAACAGTGAGGCCCTGGGCAATGATTATACAAAGCCCGGTTGATGCAAAGAGCTGTGATACCAAGTGTCCCACACTCGGGCAGATTTGACTAGAGCACAGCAAAAGCATACAGAGGAGGGAACGGGCAGGTGGCGACGCCTTTTAGCCACAACTTCCAAGTTGACAGAATCACTATGAACAATTATCTGTGAATTTAAAAAAGTTAAAAACACTACAGAGAGGGAGCTGCCTGCTGGTCCAGTGGTTAGGATTTAGCCCTTTCACTGCTGGGGCCTGGGTTCAATCCCTGGTTAGGGAACTAAGATCTTGCAAACCACATGGCACAGTCAGAAAAAGCAAAAGCAAAATCCCCTAAAAATAACTACACAGAAATATACATGTATATTGAAATGTCACCAAAATAAAGACCATACACCTCAACTGTTCATTTCATTCCCTTTAAAATGTTATCCTTTTAATTTTATTTCATGATTATAAGACAAAGACCTTATGTTTGTGATTAGTGATTTTCAACTCTGGCTTCGCATGAGAATATTCCAGGGAATTAAATACAACATGAGTCCCCAAGCCCCATTCCTCAACTGATTAAATGAAAATTCTGGAAAGAACCATAGGATCCTGAGTCATCCTCATATTATATCAAACTTTATCACTAAAACTAGATGATTTTCCTTTCTCTGCCTCTGATTAATTGATTTAGCCCATAGCTTCCATGATGATCTCCCTAATATACTGTGTTCCTTATACTTCTGCCCTCCATAACCCAGGCCAATACTTATCAATTAAGAATCCACATCACAATCACCGGGGGATCTTTCCCAAACACTTGTAACTGGGCTCCATTCTACCCCCAGTCACAAGAAAAAGCCATTTTAATTCTTTAAAACATTTATTCTACATGAGATTTTTAACTTAAGGCTCTTAAACCTCTATGTTCAAGTTCTTCTTTATAAAACATCAAAGTGACATGACACTCTGCAGAAGTGTTTATAAGAGCACAAGACTGGAAACCTAAACATCCATCACAAGGGAATGGCTCAATAAATTATACTACATCCATACATGGAATATCACATCTCAGAAATAATGAAAAACTGCTGATCTAAACTTGTCTTTAAAAGATACCAGCAAGGTGCAAACATTGTTTTTGAATGAAGACTATTTCTGAATGGACTCATGGGAAATTATCAAAAGTAACTGCTTCTAAGGGAAGAGATCTGGAGGTCAAAGGAAGACTACTTTTTATAGAACACTTTTTTTTGTACTTTTCTGAACCACTTTAATGTGCATACATGACTTACATTAAAAATTTTAACAAATAAAAACATACATGAAATTAATTACAACAAATTTCCAGGGGAAACGCAAAAATTAAATCAAGTGACCTAAGTAACATAGTTGGCACACAGCTATAGTCAAGAAATGCCTTTGTTAGATTACATTATCGTAAGTAACATGCCTATGCTGGGTGGCTTCTAAGATGGTGCTCAATGATCCCTGCCTCTATTACTGCCTTGTATGGTCCCCCTGGAGAATAGACTGGATGTGCTGAATTGCAACTAACAAAAAGAACATGGCACAAACGACAGGATGTTGCTTTCAAGATTAAGGCATAAAAGATGGCCATTTCCATCTTGTTCATATGCTCTATAGCTCTGCTCAGTCTGAAAAGCAAGCTGCCATGTTGTCAGGGACGATATGGAGGGGCACCACATGGCAAGGAACTGAACCTTGCCAACAACCACAAAAAGGAGCCTTACAATGACTGTGGCCCAAAAACCTTGATTGCAGCCTTGAGACCAGAGGACCCAGCTAATCCACATCCAGAAACTGACACAAGATAAATGTTGTTACTGGAGTAATTTGTTATACAGCAATAAGTATTAATAAATAATAAAATGCCTTTCATACAACACTGTTAGTATGTTCCAGAAAAACTTTTAGACAAAGCATGCAGCCTGATAACTTACAGAACTAAATCAGAAGGAATAAACCCAAACAATATCATGTAATATTCCATACCTGTCCTCCTCTCGCCAGCATGCTAACCCAGATAGTGCTGGTGGGTCGAGAAGAATTCTCCAGACATGATCTACACTCTCCTGTGTAGGCATATTTAGAATCCTTTTTGGCAAACACATATACTGTATTTGTTGCCATTTTCTCTTGAGCAATCAGAACCTACATGGACAATAAAAGTTATAGCCATAAAAAATACAAGGTCTTTGAACTAGAAAGAACAGTGAAAGCTGCATCTTAATCTGACTGTACAAGCTCACTGAAATAATAATTCTTAAACTTTACATATTCCACTTTGCATAAACACTTCACTGAAACACATTAAGCTCAAACTGACCAAATTTCTAGTGTATATTATATATAGCTAAACAAAGTTTTGGTTTAATATAAATTCAGCTGTCACCTCCCTAATAATTCAACTGCTACTTCCAGATTATTACACAAAAATTTACTTTTAATTTCAACTTTCATGAGCTTAATGATCATTTGGTGTTTTTTATAAATAATGCTACTATACCTTTTCTGATCCATTAATAATGAAGTAGCCACCAGGATCCAAGGGACATTCATTTAACTCACAAAGATCACGATCAGTTAAGCCATTCAATAGGCAGTAAGTTGAACGCAACATAATTGGAATTTTTCCTATAAAAGTTTTCTGATGCTGTGTCTGAAGTTGTTCTTCACCTTCTTTAATGACTGTTTTTGTTATGTCAACATAAAGTGGAGCAGAGTACCTTTGAAAATAAAAGTAGATCACAAGTTAACAGTAAGGTATTTGCTAAAACTCTCAACTGGCCAAAATTTTATTTTCTGATTTTTATTTCAAAATCAGCTGCTGGAAAAGAAACATGGTTTCTTACGTGAGATTTCTTAATCTGGCCTCATTTGGCATCATTGGTGATGGAGCACCATCTCTTTCCCAATGGGTGGGCTTGGACAGGTAAATCTGTTCAAACTTCAGCAAATATCTTGGCTAAAATGAGACCAAAAACCAGGGGAAAAAGTAAATAATTCCTCCATAAAAGACTTAATGATTCCATTTTAATCAACATTAACATTTTGAGAAGAAACAGCTCTAGAAAATGCCAAAGTTCATCCACTTTACTAAAATGGTGACTCTCCACAGTCCCTATCCATATTCCATAGACATCAAGTTTTATACTTCATCACTCTCTTAAGGTGAAAGACAAAAAGACACTGCAAAGACTAAGCACATAACATAGGCTCTGAATTCATGTCAAGCAGCTAAAATGGATTTGCATTAATGATCGGTATAGCTGTTTCATGTGCCCTCTCTTTAGCTGAGGTTAACAAAGTTACCGGAAAACAAAGAAAAAATAAATTCATACAACTAGAAACGTGTTCTAAACTAATCAACAGAACATGGGAAAAAGTAGACCTAACTCTTCAATTAAACATAAGGCATCAGCACCAGTCACAGGGCGGAATGGAGGCACTGATCTTGGAACCCTTCCTGTATACTGATCAAAGCAGTCTTTATTCGGGACAATGATGGAGATCAACCTTTTGCCAAGTACAACGACACCTATGCCAGCATCAAGAAGCAAAAGGCCTTTGCGAAGAATATTTTCAACAAGACCCATAGGACTGACAGTGAAGCTGCCCTTTTAGAAAGCCTGAAAGCGGTATACAAAAACAGTATCAATCTCTATTTCTGTATGATTGGCAGCTCCTATGAAAATGAGCTGAAGTTCATGGCTGTTTTGAACTGCTTCTTCAACTAATCAAGCCAGATGCTGAGGGAAAATGTAGAAAAGCGAGCTCTGCTGGTGAACATTCTTCTCAGCTGTGGAAGAAAGCATGGATGCAGGGGTGATCCGAGACAGTAATTCCCATAAAGTGGTACACCTGGTGGCATTAGGAGCAGATCAAGCATCAGGATATGCAGTCAGCCAAAGAAAAGATCCAGCAGTCACTCCGGTGAAGACCACCATTCCTGGCTCTTCACTCCCTCAAAAAATCCAAGAGCTCCTGGGACTTCTCATCCAGCCCCCCAAGTGATGCCTGCAGGATCATCTGGGGTCACAGGGACTAAGACTCCATCTTGTCTGTAGGTGCCCCACCCTCACCCCAACCTGAGCCCACCTCCCCTTCCTTCTCAGTCCTCTTTGCCAGCACTGGAAGGCAGGCTCTGAGCACCTCTGACACAGGCAGTGTCTGAGGAAAGCGCCCTCGTCCTCCTCTGACGGGATTACGCTCCCAGATCCCCTAGAGCCTGTATTTCCTCCACCACTTCTACGCCCTGGGATGCAGCTACGCTTCAAAGCACGGGAAGGACCATCCTGAGGGTCCTCCTCCTTTTGCCTTCACCCAGCCTTCACCCCAACAGCGAGGGGAGGGAGAGAGCACTCTTTTGTACAGAATAGTGGTGGTGGGCAGTGGCATTTCCAGTGTTGCTATTTCCTCCTATTTCTTCTTACTGCCCAGACCTCCAGTCTTGGAAAGAATACTGAGAACATAGGAAGGGGCAGCATGGAAGCAGTGATTTAAATTTTATTGAAGAGGGTCTACAAAATTCTGTATTTCAAACACAGCTGAAATTTTTTTTTACCCTGATCCTGGCTTATAGCTTCCAAACTGCTGTGGTCTGTGTTTGCTGTGGGAGTGTCCGCCTCTGTGTCTGATACCTTAACTCTCCACCTTCACTACCATCGGATCTCCGCCTGACTTGTCCTCTCTGTGCCCTGGAGAAAAGCCAGTCCCTGAACTAAAACTCCACTTGAGTCTTGGGAAGAAGAGTTTCTGCTCAGAACTGGAGACAGGGTGGAATTTATGACTTGGACCTCTGGGCTCTTTTAGTCCCCTTCTCTCCCCCACGGGCATTTCACTTCTCTGCCCTGGGTCTGTGAACTCTGCTGCTTAACACCATCCTCTTCTGCCTCAACCCAATCCAAACAGTAGGTCTGGACACCTCCCATCTCTAGGTTGCTGAGAGAGGTGCCTTTCTTCAGAAAACCTTTGGGATGGGAACTTTCCCAGGAAGATGAAGGATGGAATGCTCATTGTTGGGTTTCATCTCCCCCTTTGACCCAAAACTTCCCACAAAAATGTCTCAAGAAACCTTCCTGAGACTTAGCATTCTGTCCCATTCACTAACTGCCAATGCCCACGGGCAGATAACTGGGAATCCTTGAGGGGGCATTTCTGTGTAAGAGACGTATGGAATCAGTATGATAGCCACCTTCTTATAATACTGAGTGCAAGAGGAATGAAAAAAAAAACCAACAACAGAAAATCCTAATTACTATTCTACATAAGGGAATGAGAATTTCCAACCATGGCTGACTATAGCTTATTTCACAGTTAAAAAAAGAAAAGAAAGAAAAAATTTTTCAATTAACTATCTATCTGCTACCCAATAAAACAAGAGCTAAGAGAACTTTCCAGAGTTAAATGGATACAGAATTTCTCTCTAAATCAAACCTCAGAAAAGGAAAAGATGGAACTAAGCAGGTCACTAAAGGAAAATTATTAATACCCAAGTTTCCCAAGCTGGAGTAGGTAAACAGCAAAAAGAACTACTGGTGATAATGAAACAAAAGGAATTCAGCCATTATTATCTGAAACTTAAGCTATTTCAAAATTTCTTCCCATTCCCAGTAAACATCATTTCCAAAGCAACCTTTTTAAAATAATGCTTTATATACATTCTTTGACAGTCTTTACACAATTTCCCATGACAGCCAATGACATCCAAGCATGTAACAACCTAGTTCCATCTTATCTTCCACTATCAAAAAGAGATCAAGTCAAAAACAATACACTGACTACAGTGGTCCCTCCATTCCAACCATAAGCCAAATACATAAAGTATCTTTTGCTGAAATGATTAAATATCTTTTCTCTACTAAGACAAATGCCCTTCATGGTCAGCTTAAGTCCCTCCCATCTTTTTCACTAAGCTCTGATACCAAAGCTTGAGAGATCTCTTCCTTCTATAGTACTTATTTTGTAACTCTGAATACGCTATATTGTTCTCTCTCATTTTGAAAAGACCATATAGAAAAAAATGCCATACATTAAAAAAAAAAAGACATTTTACACTCATTTTTCCAACACAGTGCCAGAAGAGTCAATTATTTTTGTTCTCAAGAGCAAAGTCTATGCAGTATCTCCACCCAAAATGAGAATAATACACCAGCCCTTATGAGATAAGCTACGGAAAAGAGGGACTCATCTGGCAGGAAAAAATAATCTCTCCCTCTAATTCTACTTCTTTTCTACATCATTTTGGTTTTTAGTTTTCCCTATTCCTCAAGAGCAATCAAGCTGCCTCTCTACTCAAAAACTGGGAACATGGAATTCCCCGGTGGGTTAGTGGCTAGGATTCTGGGCTTTTGCTGCCATGGCGTGGATTTGACCCCTGGTTGGAGAAACTGAGATTCCCCCAACCCATGCAGCCAATAAATAAATAGTGCTTTAAAAAAACAAAAACAAAAACTGGGGTGGGAAAAAGGTTCATGAGGGAGGGGAAATATGTATACCTACGGCTGATTCATGTTGACGTATGGCAGAAACCAACAACACTGTAAAGCGATTATCGTCCAATTAAAAATAATAAGGAAAAAAAAACTAGGGACAGTCATTATTTTCGACTACATACGCACTTCTTTACAATCACTCACTTAAAACTAGATTCTAAAATGACAGCCCTGCTATGATTTTAACAATGCTGAAAACATGCATGTGTTAAAAAAAAAAAAAAAAACTACTAACGAATTTAGAAAAATTAAAAGAGCTGATATATTTGGGTGATTTTCCCTTATTATCTCTTATATTGATATAATAATGTATTTCATGCAACAAATAATCAAGGGGAAAGTACTTCATCTACGTTTTCTTTTGATTCCTTACGCTTGGAAAGAAAAAAGGAGGATTTTCTGAAGTAATATGACTATTTCTGGCTTGCTTCTCTTAGTAGCTCATCACATCTCTGAGTTTCCTCTTCCTGACTATTAAATACCTACTATCTGAATAAGAATTAACAATTGTGCATTACTTGCAAAAATGCATCTCTTAAGATTAAATCAAGAGCTGACCGAAACTGTTTTAAGTACACTACAAAAAACACCAACTTTCTGTTTTAACCTTTAAGCCAGGTGAGAAAAGGACTGAAATTTCAAATCAATACCCTTATTTATGTTACTTTATTAAAATAACCATCTTACCGGTTCCTCAACTTCTCCACTAGCATGCTGAGCTTCAGCTTGTAGGTCTATAGGTGGAGCATCTTCCACAATTCTTTGAACAGACATCTGAATAAACTCATCAAAAGAATCCAGTTGTTGTCTCACCAAACCTTTCTCATCAAAATAGGAACTGGGAAAATATGAGTTTACAATCAGTTACAACTCACTGATGTTTTTTAGCATATTTCCCCATTTTCGTTATCATTAAATTCAACAAATATTAATCATAAAATAGAAATCACTTTGTACCCATCACTATATAAAATACTATCATGTATCCAAAAAGGGGATGAGACTAGGAACACTTTCTTTGTAGAACTTATTGTTAAGTATGGGGAAATGAGACTTACACTTGTGGGTAAAATTACTAAAACACAACGTAAGAACTGTAAGGAAGGAAGCCCTAACTTATAACTATCCCTTATAAACTTTATCCAATCTCTCTGAAACATTTCTTGAAACTAAAGAAAATGTATAGTCAAAGAGAAAAATGTTAAGGATGGGCCATGAGAATATTACGCTAAGAGGAAATAAATAAGAGAAAAACAGCACATGATTTCACTCATACAAGGAATCTTTAAAAAAAAAGAAAGAAAGAAAACCCAAACCCAAAACAGCAGACAAAGGAAAGAAAACAAAACTCGCAGACATAGAGAACAGGCAAGAGGCTGCCAGAGAGAGAAGGCAGTTAGTGTTATACGTGAGACTGGTGAAGGGGGTAAAGTGTATGGCGATGGATGATAACTAGACTGGCGGTGATCCCTCTGTGGTATATTCAGATGTTCAACTATAAGAACTTTAATTTTAATAAGGAAAAAGATGATGATGTCAGTGACTAAAATATAGCATGTTAAGAATTTCAATTTTAGATTAAAGGTTATCCTCTGCATATGTTAAAGGTAAGATGAGGCAAAGTCATTTAAGTGAAAATACTCAGCAAACGACTGATCATTAAAAATGGAGCAAGGTTGAGAGATCAGAGCTAGTGGCATAGACAGAGAAATCAAACTGTGAAAGCCCTAATGAAGGACAGAGGCTCAAAAAGAAACAACTTATTATTTGCAAGAAGACTCTTTCCCCTCACCACCACACAGGAAGAGCTGCATAGCTGGACCTAGCTTCTAGCCCCTTTTGCTTATTAACCAGCTCCCTCATCTCACACCAATTTTCTGAGCGACATGCATAGCCCAACAAACCATCAGCTTCCCATTTCGGCATCAGGAGATCATCTGACAGGTTGCTGGCCAGCCTGCAGATTGGCTGGCTGGCTGGCTTTGGGTCCCACCCTGATTCAGTCACCCATGGCTACCAATATCAGAAGTTCTCTACGGCAGAGAACACAGCAAAAATCACCCGTATATAAGGTACAGCTTCAAGAAAGATGGAGGCAGAGACTTCCTTGGTGGTCCAGTGGCTAAGACCCTGTGCTCCCAATGCAGGGGGCTAGTTGTGATCCTCCGTCAGGGAACTAGGTCCCAAATGCCACAACTAAGAGTTCGTGGGCCAAAATTAAAGATTCCCACATGCCACAACTAAGACCTGGTACAGCAAATAAATAAATAAAAGTAAGTAAATATTTATAGAATGGTGAAGGTAATTTTCTTCAGTAGAGACTGTGAGCTAACAGGAAAGAAATTTCTCACAACCATTTGGGTCAGCCATTGGTATATAAGAGACACATGGAAGGCACTAGCTGCAAAATAAACAACAGTGGTTTTTATGGACAATTTACAATGAAAAATCTTTTTAAAAACTAAGGACAAGTTTCATCCTCCCAAGAAGCTGAACCATTTCTACTTTTCCCCAAATCATCAGAACAGTACCTCATTAGAATGCCACCCTTTAAACACCTATACTTCTTATTTATGAACAGTTATTATTTTGAATAGTTCTTATTTATGGTATCTACTACAATGGTATCCACTACAATGGTATCCCTGAATTCCCAGATTCAGTTGTAAAGAATCCGCCTGCCAATGCAGGAGACATCGGTTCATTCCCTGGGTCAAGAAGATCCTCTGGAGAAATGGCAACCCACTCCAGTATTCTTACCTGGGAAATCTCATGTACAGAAGGAACCTGGAAGGCTGTAGCCCATGGGGGTCACAAAAGAGTCGGACACAGTGACTATATAACAACTACCATGACTGATGTGCAAGAGGTCATCTTACTAAAGTCACTATGATATTAAGTATTATCACATTAACAATGCCTGGGAAAGATCACTTGATATCAAATAGTGGAAAAACAAAACATCATCTCACAATAAAGCTCCTATAATCAATTAAAATGCAAAAATCAAACAATATTTTATTCTCTAAGAAACATTAAATGCAAGGACTTGTCAAACAGTGTATTTAATCCTTCAGCAATTTGCCACATAATTTGAAAACAATTATTTTTTTGGCTAAGATCAGAACATTCTTTCTCCCTGGCGATCACCAAATACAGGCATCCTCCAAACATCTAGCTCGTTATCGCTTCCTAGTAAAGTGTCTCTTGGTGTTTAATACTGAAAATCATAGAAGATGTAAATATCTCAGTGTGAACTTTACAGTCCATGTATAATAGGAAAAATAAATACACACTTACATCCCATAAACTCAATATATTTCTAACAAAACAATCTTCAGCAAAGCTTCAGTTTTACTCCAAATACAACTAGCAGAATCCAGAAGCGTGTATTCTTCGAAAGGGAAGAGGCTGGGGCGTCATCATATTACTATATACAAAGCAACTGTCTCTTTGGTAAGAGAGAATTGTAGCATTTTACATCCTAACATAGCAAGAGGTGACTTTATTACTTAAAAGTTATTTTTCTTACCTATATGTAAGGCTTCCTGCTCAGTTTTATTAACAGTTTAATTACACTTAGACTTGGATGGGAATGTGGGTTGAAATACAACCTGTTATGACTTTATCCAGTTAAAACAGTGAGAAAACCAAGGAATCAAATTAACAGCACCAGTAATGTAACAAGCAGGCATCATATGCCTCCTGATATAATGCACTGAAGCAGAACATCATTGTTACCAAAAGTAATCATCTAATTATGAGCGTCAGACAAACCCAAACTGAGGGGCAATCTAAAAAATAATTAGCCTGTATTCTTCAAAAATGTCAAGGTCAAAAAAAAAAGTGAGGCCATGGGACGCTTTGGAAGAAAGATAGTGGGTTTCAGAACCAAAAACCAAACAAAAAAGAGGAAGACTAAGGAACTGTCCTAGATTATAAGAGACAAAAGAATAAGTCATGAAAACTAAATGTAATATATGATCTAATGTTGGATCCAGGATCAGAAAATTTTTGTTTTGTTCTAAACAACTTTAGTGGGACACCAGCAAAATCTGGGTAAGGTCTCTAGGTTAAATGAGATTACTGTATTAATTAATTTCCTTATTTTAATAACTTAGATTATGATTATGTGAAAGAATATTTCTAGGTAAGTCACTAAGTCTCGAATATTTCAGGAAAAAATGCAGATAGATAAAGAATAAGGCAAAGAAAACATAGCATAAGGTTAACCTTTAGGGAATCTAGGTGAAGTATACACATGAATTCTTGCATAATTTTTCTATAAATCAAAATACCTTGCAAGTTAAAGTTAGATACTTAAATAAATAACAAGCCAGCACTCATGAAGTGTACTCACATAAAACATCTAATTTTTAAGCAAAGAATAAGCAGGAAATCGCTGGATGGTTTACAGTGCCTTTTAAAACTTACTCAGTTTGGTCTAAAACATTACCTAATTACAATCCAGCAAGCCTCCTGCCATAAATCTGGGGTGATTTCATCATCATCTTCATCATATTGCATATCTGCAAAAAAAAAAAAAAATTATTCTCACTTGCAATAAGTAGTACTAGTTCACATCTCACTCCTATCATGTGAGGTAGCAGAAACACATTTATCTACACTAAATAAAAAACAATTGCTTTACCCCATTTCTGTAAAATCTCAATCATTACTTGAATTGTAATGAAATATTGTATATATGTATGTACATATACATGAGTCTATGTCACATAGGTATTCTCCCAATTCACAAAGAGATCTCATGAGAAATGTTCAGTACAAGTCATAGGAATTTATAACTGTTCCGTCCTCTCCAGAAAGCTCATGTTACTCTTATTAAGAGCTAAATATATAATAACTAACAGCAAGCTCACAGTCCTCTGATCCAAAGTCAGAGGTTAGGCTAAGAGGGAGGAGTCAGCAAAGGATTCCAGTAGCTGGGCAATACGTTAAGGCACAGTGTCTATTACAGCAACATTTCATATACGGACAGGGATGACAGCCTATATTTCCCAAAGATGGCCACACTGTATCTTCCATTTTACATGTTCTTTTATAAAGCGGTTTAACACTCCTATCTTCAAGATATAAGGGCAGGGGAGGTTGGTCTATGCTTCTTCCCCTTGATTCTGGATGGGTTTTTGAATCCCCCATAACTAAAAGAATACAGTTGAACCAATGTTACACAATTTTAGAAGCTATAGATCAGGAAAAACAATGCAATTCCACCTTGTTTGCTGAAATACTTACTTTCGGAGCTGTGACTAAGAAGCTCTACTACTCTCAGGCTGGTATACTTAGGTGAGAAAGCGTAAGCAGAGGCACCACTTAGAGATGTTCCAGTCAGCAATCCCAGGCCTTGAATTTTCCGAGGCTAGGTGCCAGATGCACCGAGAGCAGAGTGAGTGAACACTCCAGATCACTCTCCCCAGCTGTCAATATCCAGCCTTTGCGTCTGCCAACCACCAGCATCGGGCAACAGTCAAGCCATTCCCACCATGCTCTGCCCAAATTCCAAGCCCATTTAACTCATGAACGTATTAAATCATTTCTAAGCAGCCACACTCTGGGGTAGTCAGGCAGCAATAGTCATGTGTACAATGGAGCGCTTGAAAAAATTAGTGTGTACTGGTCCTAATATTAGACTCATCTTTTTTTTTAATTTTTTTTTCCAAGTGTGGGTTTATTTCAAAATCATTAAGATTTCTACATTATTTTTTATTACATACAATAAAGCAACGCTTAAAGTAAAAACTTTCACATTTAAAGTTTTTATTTTAAAAAGATTTTTAAAATGTAAACAAATAAAAGCCACCCAAAAAGTTAACTGTATCTTGCAGTGTAGGTTTATCCTTAAATATTTACATCTCAAATGCTGTTTAGAAAAGATTTTAAAACTTGCTAAAAATCATTTACAATTGGCAATGATTAAAATATCCTTGTCTCTGAAAGAGCGTATTAATGGCACAAAATGAATTCACGGTCACAAGCACTTAACAGTTTAATGGGTATGTAGTTTTATCAGTATACAAAATAGTCTTAGATGGTCGCTGCAGTTGTTCTGGAGTGATCACTGTATCAGGAAAAGGCCACGTCACCAAAAACAGAACATGGACTTTCAAAAGGTCCTTCCAGTCTCCTTCTCTTCAAAGAGTTCTCAGCTCAGGAGAGAAGAACAACATTTAATTACTGCATCCCTTTCGCATGGGATGTATGACAGACTATACCAGGTCATCGACAGGAACTGCAATCTGCAGAATAACATGGCCAGTCCCTTCTCGTGCCACCCGAGAGCAGCACACAGGATGAGGACGAAACACAAAAGCATAATTGTTGCAAAAAATCTCATCGTTCCAAACACTTTCTTCAGTTGTCTCATGGGTCCCGTTAAAAAGCATGTACTGGCTAAGGCAGCAGTACTTCCAAAGGTTTAAAACACTGCAAAAAGCTTTATGCCTCCAGGGAGACACAGCAATCCAGTTCCAAGGATGCAGAAGATGCCACTGATGAAGCATATGGCAAACCACTTCAGCCTGGTGTTAAAACTAAGGGACAAGGCATCAAGGACCGGCAGGGTCAGGCCCTGTTCCTCCTTGTCCTGGCCGCTCAGGACCTGCGGAAGCTTCTCCATGACAGTCTCATCATCTTATGTAAGAGTATGTGTGCTTATTTTTTTTTTCTATTCTGACCTATATAGACAGTGTGTAAAACTTAATAACTCTGATTCAAAATTTGATGTATAATCCAAAATAAATTATGTTAATGAATGCTTCTTGAATCGTCTGAAACTGCTGACTCCTACATGTGGGAAAAGAGGTAAAAAAAAAAACTAAGGTATCTAAAATGGCTTAAAGATTTCTAGCTTTGATGACACTCTAGATGTTATTATCACAGGCACACAGAAGTTAATAAGGCTGGAAAAGGAGCCGTAATAATGAAGTTAGTTTTATATTTATCGATCATTTATCCCTTTTAACATTTCTTATGTCTTTTAGCTTATGAGAAATGAGAATATATCACCTACTAAAAAATTAAGCTAAGATTTTTTAAAATTTTTTACGCAGACAGAAGTTAAGAAAAAGAATACAATGATACTAATAAATTTCTAGATGCAAGATAAAAATGAAACAGAAGTTTAAACAGTAGACCTTAAGTTTCTGCTTCTAGTTTCTCCATGAAGTAAGTGAAGGAACAGAAGAGTGAGGGGCAACCAGGAGGTTGAGAGCTAGAAGAAAATGAACTCTGAAAAAGGAGTTGTGGAGAATGGAAGAGGGAGCATTAAAAATATACAATGAAAATACACTACTCATGACTAAGACTTCCACATGTAAAAAGAAAAAAAGACAAAGAGTCGCTGCTCAGTAAAATACATACCATCGAGAACTGTGTCATCTCGTGGTAAGAGAAAATGTAAATATCACCTTTCAAGATAATTTACTTAGGCATATAACAACATGAAGTGAAGTCGCTCAGTCGTGTCCGACTCTTTGCAACCCCATGGACTGTAGCCGACCAGGCTCCTCTGTCCATGGGATTTTCCAGGCATGAATACTGGAGTGGGTTGCCGTCTCCTTCTCCAGGGGATCTTCCCGACCCAGGGATCGAACCCGTCTTCCACACTGTAGGCAGACGCTTTACTGTCTGAGCTACCAGGAATGCCAAACTAGATCAAACTCTGCCCCCCCCCCCTCCACACACACACATATACAGAAGCTATATTCTTTGTCCCCGGTGTATTTCCAGAACTTAGAGCAATGTTTGGCACAGGCCGACGCTCAAAAACTATTCAACAAATCCACTAGCGCTGGCCTTAACGATCCAGAGGATTCGGGTGGAGAGGGAGGTGGGCGGGGGGGGGGGGGGGGTCGGGATGTGGAATACATGTAAATCCATGGCTGATTCATGTCAATGTATGGCAAAAACCACTACAATATTGTGCAGTAATTAGCCTCCAACTAATAAAAATAAATGAAAAAAAAAAGAAAAGGAGCTCTTCTTCAGACGAAATCAAAACTGTACCTGTCGAATGGTTCTGCAGGCTACTTTCAATACGGGAAGGGAGTATCAGGTTCAACCAAGAGAACAAGAGTCCTCCTGACCGAGATCATAAAGGCTACGTTCCCCGCACCCTCCACCTCTCAAAATCTCGGATCCGGCCTGGGATGTGGGGAAACGACTGGGGACGTGGTGGGGGAGGCTGGGGAGGGGGCCGCAAATCCTTCATTCGTCCAACTCCCAACGCTTCCCCCCTTTAAATGTGTCGCTGAGGAGTGCCCTGACTGGTCACCTACCCTCGTCCGCGTCATACATCTTGGCAAACGGCTCCCGAGCCCCTCAATCTCGAAATCACACTCAGAAAGGCGCGTAGCTGCCACCGACCACAGCCGAGTGAGGCGAAGTAATTTCCGTCTCCGGCGTTCCCAGAATACTCTGCGTCCCACACGAAGCCCCGCCCAAAAAGGCTCCAGTTAAGGTCTGCGCCTGCGCGAAGGGCAAGGAGAAAAAGGTGGTTAAGGGTTAGTATTGCACATGCGCGGTTTATGGGTTGAGATTTCCTCTTCTTGAGTGGGAGAACCGCTGCTTACTGTCTCTGAGCTGGCTCCTGCAAATGAAGCTTTGTTTTCTAGTGTTGCACAAATAATATCACCAAAAAAAAAAAAAAAAAAGAAAGAAAGAAGAGTTAATAATAAAAGGTTTAATTGTCCCCGTGCTCTATTTTTTTCAGTTCCAAAGATTTAAAAACACGAAGATTTTAAGAAGGATTTGTGTACACCAACTATGCGTCATATTTTTTAAAAAAATGTTTAAGAAATGTGATTTTAATGCTGTTGCACGAATAGTGAATGATACCCGAAAAAAGCCAAGCGGATGTATTAATAAAAGGTTTTAATTGTGGCAGTAAGTCTGCGACATTCGCTTTTTAATTTTCCAGTTCAAAAGACAAACACGTAGCTTCTAACAATGTGATTTCTTAACAGCAGGGGGTGCCAGGGACAGCGCGTTAAACAAGTCTGAAAGTGGATAAACCCTCACTAACTAGCCTATTCGACCGACCTACGCTAATCTAAGTCCCCGGTATCGCTTTAAGTAGGTTTCTAGGCCACAGAGCCTTCATCGCGGGAACTCACGAGATTAGACGTGGAAGGAGGCGCTTCAGTGCGACGCTGACCAATGACAGCTCTCAGGTACTCCCGGCCTGTCTTTGCTGTTTTACGCTCATCTGGGGCCACAGTGCATGTGCGAAAAGGTGGCTCCGCCCCTTTGCCCACTGCTGCATTTCTCATGCTGCCCGCGCGCCTAGCTCACAGGCTTCTTTGCGGCTTCTTGCGGGGACCCACTCCCACTGTAACGCGCCACGGCGTCCGGGAGACGCTCCTCCAGAGGAGATGCGCTACCGATTCCTCCCCCCGACACCCAGCGGGCCTGGGACGTGGCCTTCCTCGTGGCGCGACGGCGACTGGGGGTAACCCAGGAGGGGCTGACCTGGAGGAGAGTTTTCTGTTCCCTGAGTACGTCCCGGATTCGGAATCGGAAGCGACCCTCCAAGACCAGCTGCGGGAGCTCCAGCAGCGGCAGGAGGAGGAGGAGAGACGGATAGAGCAGCGGCGGGAGGAGAGGCGGCAGCGTAAGTTAGGCGCCGGCCGGCGGGTGCACCAAGCCGTGGGGCACCCGGACCCGACGGTGCCGCCCAGCGGCCAGAACTGTTCTGGCTGCGGTGCGGAGCTGCACTGCCAGGACCCCGGCGTGCCCGGCTACCTGCCCAGCGAGAAGTTTAACAGCGCGGTAGCGGAGGAAGAGGGGCTGGAGCGGACCGTATGCCAGCGGTGCTGGCTGCTGGTGCATCACCGGCGCGCCCTGCGCCTTCAGGTGAGCCAGGAACAATTCCTGGAGCTGGTGAGCGCCGCGCTGCGGCGGCCCGAGCCCGCCCTGGTGCTGTGCATGGTGGACCTACTGGATCTGCCCGACGCCCTGCTGCCCCACCTGCCCGCCCTGGTGGGCCCCAAGCAACTGATCGTGCTGGGAAACAAGGTGGACCTGCTGCCCCAGGACACTCCCAACTACCGGCAGCGGCTCCGGGAGCGACTGTGGGACGAATGTATCGGCGCCGGGCTCCTGCCGCCCCGCGGCTACCGAAGACCTCAACATCCCAGCGGGGACCGGCCACGGGACGGGAAGGACAACGCGAACCTTCTGTCGAAGTCCAGCACGGTGCTCAGAGACGTGCGGCTCATCAGCGCCAAGACGGGTTATGGAGTTGAGGAGTTGATCTCCGCGCTCCAGCGCTCCTGGCGCTACCGTGGCGACGTCTACCTGGTTGGCGCCACCAACGCTGGCAAGTCCACTCTTTTCAATACGCTTCTGGAGTCCGATTATTGCATCGCCAAGGGCGCTGAAGCTATCGACAGGGCCACCATCTCCCCTTGGCCTGGTGAGCGTCCCCTTCGGTTTCTGAGAAGCTGGTAGTCTGATAGTGATTCACTCTCCTAGTCATGTATTCTTCCTTAATGTCCATCAGGAGCTGGTGGGAGGCTTCCCTTTAAAAATTCTCTACCTACTTTGTTCACATTTCTCTTCCGTGGCAGCTTAGTGCTTGCAAAGTCAGTATATGTTTTAACTTTTCAATAGAAATAGAAATATTCAATAGAGTATTCCTATGTTCAAGCCACTGTTCTAAGGTGAACTAGAGGACAAACCAGTGTTTGCTCTCTTGAAGGTTTCCCTTGTAGTTTTAGTCCTTTGTAAGTTTCTCCAGAAAGTCCTTTTACTTTGTGGAGAAAAGCCTCCTTCCATCCCTCAGTCTTACCCTTCATATCTTGAGTTTACTCATGAGAATTCTATACAGATTTAACATATGAATAACTCACTGATGCAATATGATGTGTGGCTTTGTTGAAAATAAAAGTCAACTTTGTGGCTCCAAGAAACATCTGTAGTAATTGCAGAATGAATCCTTCTGTGACCTGTTTTTATGTAACAGTTGGCAAAATGAACTACTTCATTTATTCCTTTGAAAGCAGTGTTTAACTTTGCTTGGTAAACTGTATTCTCTGTCCTGGACTTTGGGAGACTTATACACAGAAGTGCTTTTTATATCAGTTAGTAGTATGCAGAAGATGGAAAGAGATCAGGCCTATAGATTTGGCATTCATATCCTAGTTGAGCCTGTGAGCCAGTCTTTGAGCCTATTGTCTTACCTGTAGAGTAAGAATAATTTTGTAGAGGGACTATCCCCTGGAGAAGGCAATAGCAACCCACTCCAGTGCTCTTGCCTAGAAAACTCCATGGATGGAGGAGCCTCGTGGGTACAGTCCATGGGGTTGCCAAGAGTTGGACACGACTGAGCCACTTCACTTTCACCTTTGTCATGAAAGTGAAGAGAAATAATCACAGTACTCAAGATGGTATAGATCCTCTTAAATGTTTTATTCCATTTTCCTGTACAGTGTTTGTAACAGTGTATGTATTTGGTATTTCAGGTACTACATTAAACCTTCTGAAGTTTCCTATTTGTAACCCAACTCCTTACAGAATGTTTCAAAGGCAAAAAAGGCTTAAAAGAGATGCAACTGAAGCAGAAGAAAATCTTAGTCAACAAGAACAAAATAAACTGAATCTCTTAAAAAAGCATGGTTATTTAGTAGGTAAGTGTCTTCTATAGGAAAACTAGTGTAACTATGCTAAAATTTTTTGTTGAGCATACAGCTCTCTAGGGCTAGCCAGTTTTTTATGGGAAGAGACACTTCCTCTTTTTAGAACGTAGAGAACTTTTAAAGGCAAGGCTGTTGTTTGGAAGTCCAGAATTCATTGCACTGGGAAAATTGCAACGGTAGCTACTTGAAGAAATCCAGGAAAGGAAATGTGAATAAGTGCCTATCTGGCTGTTGCTGGAAGTAGAAGTATCTGTACTAAGATACCAGCCCCCTCCTTGCAGACCCTACACGTTGTTGAACTGTAACAGCTTTAAATTGGATTGTCCCCCTTTCCTTGATATCTCTTTCCAACCACTATTTATGAAAAACTGATTTCCAACACTCTTCTCCTCCACCAAATGTGTACAGCCAGCCACACGCATTTCATCATTGCAAGAGTCTGACTCCAGCTGCATTCAGAAACAGAGCAAAAGTATCACTGTAGTCTCACTTCCTTCCAAACACCATAGTTAGTCTTAGTAACTTGTTTGAAGCAAACATAAAAATTACAAGGCAAAAGCTTTAAAGGAGTGACTGCTAACTTCAATGTAACTTGTTCTAGGAAGGGTTGGAAGAACATTCACATATTCAGAAGCACAGAAGGATGAAGCTGCCTTTGAATTTGATGCCGATTCATTTGCCTTTGACATGGGAAATGAACCTGTTATGGCTGCAGATAAATCCACCAAACGAGTAAAACTGACCCCAGAAGATGTGAAAGATGCCCACTGGTTTTATGACACCCCTGGAATTACAAAAGAAAATTGTGTATGTATTTCATGTCTTTTAGAAACATTAACTTTCAAGTGCAGGAGTATTATTTTAATCAGCAGAAGAAAAAAAAGCATCCTTTCATTTTTGACTCAGTTCTGATTCATTCACCGAACTGTTTCCTTGGTGAATCTATATGCCATTTGGTAGGCGTTGCTGCTGACAACCTACTTCTATCTTTGTGGGGTTTACCTTAGTTAGAGAAATATTTACAGAATCCTAGATTTTAAGGTTGGAAGAAATCATAAATGTCACTGCGGTCCAGCCACCTGTTCCATACTTGAATTCCCTCTATAACATATTCACCAAGAGGTGCACCCACCTTGAACTGAAGGAAGGAGGGACTCACCCTCAGCTAAAGCAGTGTCACCTCACGTCCCAAGGTCACCCATTTGATCTCTGACCTGCTCTTTATATTGAACTGGGCAGTCTCCCTGTACATACTTTGTACTTATTGTTCCCCAAAGGTGTATGGAATAAATGTAACGCCTCAGTCCCTTTGCCAGACATTGAAATGTTTTAAAGTATAATGTCCTCTCTTTCTTACTCTATGCTTTTTTTCTCTGTCATTAATTCATCCTACAAACATGGGGACTGTGTTGACATAATCCAGATGATTTGTCTTCATTTCCTGGAGCTATTCTGAGAATAGCTATGAACACAGGACACTTTCCAGCATGAGTTCTAATTTGGTTTTGTTCTTGAAAAAGTGACACAAAGTACTAAATTTCTTAAGTAGGTGCCCCCTCAGATGAACCTCATTTAGAATAGGATCAACTCATTGTTTATGTCCAATCTTTACTCCCTTAGCAATTCAGAACTTCACAGAGTAAAGAAAAAGCCAAGGAGTACAAAAGTTTGATAAGAGTTAAATCAAAATCTGACTTTAAAAATTTGAGAAAGTAAAAAAAAATGGCTAAAAAACTTTTGTAAACTTGTTTCTTAAAGAAAAGTAACAAGGAAATTTTAAAAAATGTAGTATCTAGGGAGATTCGGAAGAAAATAATCTAAGGGGGTGTCAAGTAGTTTTCTTCAGTATTTGTGTTTGAAAAGCACATGCAGGAAAGAAATATTTTAACCCTTTTAGCAGAGACCCTAATACTTCCATTTCACAACAGAGTTCCTTGCTTCAGCTTAGGAAACTGGTTCCCATTACTACTGAACATTCCTACTGCTTCCTAGTAATGTTCTATCACTTTAACTTTACCCACTCATCTTTTAACTTTTAGACTCAGTTAGGGCAATGACATGACTGAAGCGATTTAGCAGCAGCAGCAGGTCAGGGATTCAGTTCCTTTAGTCAGGTACACCCTCTTGTCAGTTGGTCAGAAAGGCAAGAATCTGCTAACTACGAAAGCCAGCAGTGAGACCCTCAAGTTTTTAGATAGAAAAGTTCTCTCAGGCAGTTTGATTCTCTGTCAGTTTATTGATTTATTTATTTAATGCCTGAACCAGTGTTTCCCAAACTAAAGCAAGGAACTCTGTTGTCAAGTGGAAGTATGAGGGTCTTTGCTAAAAGGGTTAAAGTATTTCTCTCCTGCCAGGGGCTTTAAATGTGCTTTTCAAACTCAAGCATCGAAGAAAACTACTTGCCACCCCTTACATATTTTCTTTCAAGTCTCCCCAGATATTACATTTTAATTTTCTTGTTACTTTAAGAAACAAGTTCATAAAAAGCCATTTTTTTTTTTACTTTCTCGCATTTTTTGAGTCAGATTTTTATTTTAGTCTCACCAGAATCTTGTACTTCCTGGCTTTTCTTTTCTACTTTCTCTAGTCTACTTAGGAATCTTCATTCCCAGAAGTCACAGGATCCAGTCTTTATGTTTGTTGTTTTTTTGCTGAGTATTTGTAGGAAATGAGGAAAGTGAATACTAGAGTTTAGAAAAAGTTCTTCAAGCTTTTTACTTGAGCCTAGAATGGGGTGATCACTCTCATTTAATGCATACATAGCTGCCACGAGGACAAAACACAGCACATGACTTTACCATTAGTTGAGAATTGCTGCTCCCTAGAAGCCTTGACAAGAGAACATATTTTTCTATCCTGGGATTGAATCATGAGTGTTCAGATCACACCGAATTTGACAGAATTCGGAGGATGCTGTTGTTTCAATACTCAGTATATTGCCATTACTTAAGATTAAGTTGTGAAACAAGAGTAGAGCCAACTAAAAATTGATTCCATTAGACAGAAAGAAGCTATGAATTTTATGTGCAGCAAATTCTGGAATACATACTTTGATGTATTGTGAAGCCTGGAATATATAATCATAACTTTTTATCTTACAGGTAAAGCACGTATATACAGCATATGTTCATTGAAAGTAATTCTCAAAAAATCTGCACTTTGCTTTACAGATTTTAAGTCTTCTAACAGAAAAAGAAGTAAATGTTGTATTGCCGACACATTCCATTATTCCAAGAACTTTTATGCTAAAACCAGGAATGGTTCTGTTTTTGGGTGCCTTAGGCCGCATAGATTTTCTGAAGGTAAGGAAAGTCTATACCATTGAAAAATGACTTTATTTTTGGGATTTACTTTAAGCAAGCAGATATTATCAAGACTAGCAAAATGTTGATAACTAGGTCATGACTGTGTGGGGGTTGATATCCTTTTATGTGTGTGTTTTAAAATGTCTGTAATAGAAACCTGGGATACTGAAATGGTGGGGAAAAGTAATAGGTCTTAAAAAAAACTGTTTTCAAAAAACAGTTGAATGTCCCATACAGCTTGACATTAAAAAGATAGTTTCCCTCTCCTATGGTATTCTTTTCTGTGGAAATCAGAGGTCATACGTTTAGGGGCAGGGTTAATATGCATTAAATTAATTCCACACTCTATATCCGATGACATGTATACCTTTATACGTGTATTTTTTTGGTTTGGTATTCACTTACATAGCATCATTCAGAGATTGTAGAGCATCTATAGAACCGCTCCCCATTTTTGCCAAAGTGAGCAGAAAAATGGAAAGTGAAAGATGGATGTGTCCAACCACACTCGGTGCGACCTGCGGGCGCTGCTTTAGCACACATCTTGCTTTCTGTTTGTTCATAATTTGTTGAAAATTTGGCCTTACACACTTCAAACCTTACATACATTTTTAGAGACCATACAATGTTAACATTTTAAACCAAACTTTATACAGGGACAATTAAAGCAGATGGTATTTTCATGTCTTTCATAAAGAGAGACATTTGTTTTAGTATCCACAAAGTGTATCTAAGGTATCATAAGTTTATTTACATGGGTTAAGTGCACTGCTTCTGCCATCTTTCTCCTACCTTCCTCTTTTTTTTTGGCCACACCACATAGTATGCAGGGCCTTAGTTCCCGGAACAGGGACTGAACCCAGGCCACTGCAATGGAAGCACAGAGCAATAAGGACCAGACTGCCAGGGAACTCCCCAGATTTTTTTAATTGTACCTTGTAATGTGCTGGTTTTCCAAGTTTTCATTGTACAGATAAGTTCTTTCTTCCTTTCTTAAGGGAAATCAGTCAGCTTGGTTTACAGTTGTGGCTTCCAACTTCCTTCCTGTTCACATTACTTCGTTGGACAAGGCGGATACTATGTATCAGAAGCACGCAGGTCATATGCTACTGAAGGTGAGCCAATATGATTTGATGGTTGAATAGTTAGGTTAATACACCCTGGTAGTCCCACAGCCCTGATAAAAAGCCTTTGTTGGACAAAACCATCTTTGTTACACCATCAGCTAGCTCTCCCTGACCTTGTTCACCGTGAGGATTTGGCTATAAAGTGAGACAGGCTCTAATAAGAAAAGGGATGTTGGATTGGACTGATCCCAGGATACTGACAGAGGTGGGTTTTCTCTGGATGACACTGTCCAATATGGTAGCCACATGTGGCTATTTCAGTAAGTTAATTAAAATTAAATAAACTTTAAAATTTAGTTCTTGCAGTAGCCAAGAACTTCTCAACTGTCCAGTGGTCACATCATTTCAAAAAGTTGCGCTGGATAATGTGAGTGAGGAGATGCTGGATTTTCTCACAACAGGGTGATGCTACCAGCAGGTAATGGGTGGAGGCCAGAGATGATGCTAAGCATAATGCATGCACAGGACAGCCCCTCCCAACAGGGAATTATCTGGTCCACACGTGAGTGCTGAGCTTAGCAGCCCTTGTCTGGGTGGAAAAGCTCTCCTCCCAGGTTCTTAATCACAGACACTTAGAGACTCTCTCTCTCCTGCTTACTTGATCCTTCCTTTGACCTGTGAAGCAGTGTGTGAAAATCTCTCTGATCTTTCAGAAACAAAACAAAACTCTGTCCCGCTCCTTCCTCTTCTTTGCAATCACGCCGACTCCTGCTCCTCACCTCCCATCCTCTGTAGTCCCTGCCGTGGCCTTTCTGTGCCGCTGAAATGGGTCCACGTTCACCAGAGGCTGGGCCAGTTTGCGGCTCTTTAGGCAGACCTGCGCACACACCGTCAGCTAGCCTGTAGTGCATGACGGTTCAGCTCACTGGAGCTAGGCTGGGTTCACGTCCCGCTCTGCCCCACCACTCGGTGAAGCTCTGTGACTTTGGGAAAGTCCTCTACCTCTGTCTGTTGTGACCACACCATGCGGTTGGGAGAAGATCCAGTGCCCGGGCACCGTTGTCCCTGCCGTGTGTTTGTGGTGATGAGGAGGGGGCTGGGACAGAGCTCCTGCAAAAACACCAGCTGCATCCAGTGCAGATGTGAGTTACATTAGTGAATGCTCATACAGCTATAAATGAGTCACACCTGCCTTTCAACCAGGATAAAACCAACCTGACTGCAGAAGCAAATGCTTCTTTCTCTCTGGACTAACGAAAAAAGCCAGAGTGAAATTAAGACTCCATTGAAATAACTGGCCTAACGTTGATGCTTCAGACACATGTAGGATTTGAGGGGAGGGCTCCACCTTCATGCATCTGTGTAGTCGTCAGGGTGGACTCACTGATACTTCTCAAAGCGACACTCAGGTTTCTCTCCCCTCATACAGTTTCTTGGGCCGCTCTGTGTCTCCGCCTTGCCTTCTGGTTTTCATTCATCTCCCAAGTCAAAGTCAATCCTGCCTCCTAATTATCACTGAGACCAGCCTCAGTCCAAACTGTAGCCTGCTTTCTGAGATTATGAGCTATTTCCTAGATTCCAATTTTATTGTCTTCCTCCCACCCTCACCCCACTACAGCTGTAGTTCTCAACCAGGCTTGACTCTTCCCGCAAGGCAACATTTGGCAAAGCCTGCAGACAGTTTTGGTTTTCACAACTTAATGGACGCTGGATAGAGGCTGCTAAAAATTGTGCAATGCCCAAGACAGCCTCCCCCAACAAAAAAATTATTTGACTCAAAAGGTCAGCAGTGCTGAGGTTGACAAGTCCTGCACTGTACAGGTTTTTCCAAAATATAAAGCAGGTCACAGTATTTTCATTCTTTTTTCTTTCCTGCTTACAATTCCTTGTTAGTTCCACATTACTGAGAAGTCGAAACTGAAAGCCTCATCACTAATACACACACACACCACATTCTGCAGTTAAAACTACAGTTCTCTGAACTCATCATCCTTTTTCCAGTTTTTGTGTCTGTACATTACTCAGAATACCTTTCAATACTGAGTAACTTTAATCTATTTTTCAAAATTCTGCTCTTCATTAATGTTTTACCTTGACCAAGCCACATTCATTATTCCCTTCATAACCATAGTACTTAGTAAATTGCCTCTCATCACATTTCTTACCTTTTATTTACTTGCTGTTTCCACCTTCTGATCTCCTCGGGAGCAGGGACCATACTGTAACATCTATGTTTGTATTCTTAGTTATAAACACAGAGAAATCCATTAATAAATAAGTAAATTATTATTCACTTATTTCCAATACATGGAAACACCTGTAAACACAGAGCTGATGTTAACCATTATCCATGTACCCTTGATTTCTAATGAGGCAGGGATTAACCTGTGTCCAGACAGGCCTGTAAGACCTAAGGTAGTTGGAGGGATGGTGCCTTAATTGCCCAAAGTTACTGTGTTTAAACCATTATGAAGGTCTCTCAAAACAGTGTAAGCTAGTAAGATTCTGCTCTCTGGAGGTGACCACCAGATGGATGCCATGGGGCCCTTGTCATTGGGATCCATAGGCTTCATCCCATCACAGAGCTCCTGGGCTTTTCATTTGATCTAGAAGTGATTGAGGATTTTTTTCAATAGTTTAATGGTTAAAAGCGTTTTATTTTTGATACCTGTACAGTATTATCAGTGCCTTACTTAATATTAGTTATTAGGGGTTTCATTTGAATTTCCAAATAACTTTATCTCCTCCCAATGGAAGGTACCAATGGGTGGAGAAGAAAGAATGGCAGGATTTCCTCCTCTTGTTGCTGAAGACATCACATTAGATGGAGGACTTGGGCAATCTGAAGCAGTAGCTGACATCAAGTTCTCCTCTGCAGGTAATTTTACACCAAGCACAAGAGTTTAGCATATCTTTATACAGATTTGCCTTAACTGACATCAGCCAAATATTTTAAGAAATACATGCTAGATTACTCATAAGATGCAACCTGCTCTGAAAATGAATCTGTACATTTTCAAATGCATTGATGCTTTTTAAAAAAAAAGAGTGAAGCAGCAGTAGCCTCCCTTGGGTCTCCATCTGGAGCTGTGTCTGGTGTTTTTAATAGGATGGCTGCTAACACCGTCTGTTTTTTCTCGTGTGCCTGCACAGGCTGGGTAGCAGTAACACCGCAGTTTAAGGACACACTGCACCTCCGAGGCTATACACCTCAAGGGACAGTTCTGACCGTCCGGCGTCCTCTCTTGCCACGTATAGTTAACATCAAAGGAAAGCGCATCAGAGGAAGTGTGGCGTATCAAACCAGAAGGCCTCCTGCCCTTGTGTACAATCTGCAGAAGAAAAGATAGACAAGTGAAGCTGACCTGTTCACACTGAAGATGAACTGTATAGAACATTCTGTGTGCATCACACCGCATTTGATGAAATACTGCTATAATAAAGCCCCCTCACCCTTTTTAAACTGCCAAGGACCATGCCTCTTGAGTTTTTAAACACCTTATTTTTTTAGGAGGGTACATACATGTGTGTATCTGTGATTCAAACATACCTAGAGTTCTGCTACATTGTTTTCTCCCACTAGTATTTGTTATTGAGACCAGATGGCACTTCTCATTTAGAATCTAGTTGAAAGAGGAGCTTAGCAGTTGGCTTAAGAGAAAATGGCAGAAAGTTCATTTCTCCAAACTATGCTGGCTTAAATGAGAGAGAAGTGAGTAAGCGGCTGCCCTTCATGTGGTCAGCCAAGCACCCAACTGGGGCACAATGCATGGCTTCCGTCTCTGGGTCTGAGGTGGTTGCTCAGGTTGTCATCCTTTCACAGCAATGGGAAGAGAAAATTAGAGTGAAAAGCACGCAGCTACCACACGGAAAAGAAGGGAAGAGCTGGAAGTTGCCCACATCACAATGTCTAGTGGTCAATATTTCCACGGCCACACCCTGCCATGAGGAAGCTGGAGGATGTAAACGGAAATGCGGAGTTAGATTTGTATTACTTAGAGGAAGCAGCAGTGAAAGAAATCTGGAAAACAAGTAGAAATTTCCCTTACGTAATCTAAAAGTGCCTGAAAATCTTAGAAAAGGATTTATGTTATATCTTTTTGGAATCTGAGGTCTATTCTGCAAGGATCAGAGCACTTCAACTATTTTATAACATTTGTCTGTAAACACTGTACATAAAACATTATACCAGTCAGAAGTCTTTACCTTCAGGCATTCCTAGTAGAGTAAGTGGCCCTACAGCTGTGGACAATGAATTGGCAAGTCAAGTCCCAGGTCCCATGATGAGATGAATGCTGTGACGTTAACTGGCCTGAAACAGATCCCTGAACTTCCTGTAGACTTAGGGTTAGCGTTAACTTTCTAATAGTCCTGCATTCTCTGACAACATATACACTTGAGGCCCCCCTCCCCCCTCACTAAGTAGGTCATTATAGGATAAATGGTCAGTATTTTAAGATGCAACTTGTAGGGCTTTTTGGTAGCTCAGCGGAAAAGAATCTGCCTGCCAATGCAGGAGACACGGGTTCAATCCCTGGTCCGGGGTGATCCCACGTGCTGTGGAGCAACTAAGTCTGTGAGCCACAACTACTGAGCCTGTGCTCTAGAGATGGGGCAGCAACTACTGCAGCCCACGCACCTTAGAGCCCATGTTCCATGACAAGAGATGCCACCACAGTGAGACACCCATGCACTGCACCTAGAGTAGGCCCTGCTACCCACAACTAGAAAAAAGTCAGCTTCACCAACAAAGAGCCAGCACAGCCAAAAATAAATAAAAACTAAAAAAAAAAGCCTACTACTTGTAAAAACTGTAGGTCTCCCTTTCCTTATGTTTCAAAGTGAATACGATTGGCATCTTGGGGAAAGTAGTTCTCTGTGTGCATCCTTCATCCCGAAATGCAACATGCCACTAGCAGCAGCCAGGCCCCATTCCTCAACAATGGAGAACCCTGGCGTTTCCAGACCCACCCTCTAGAGGGCGGCAGCTTCCCAAGGAAGAAAATGGTAGCTGATTTCTAGTTTATTTTGGAGAAAATGAAACACTGTAAATTTTGTAACTTAAAACTATGACCATTGTATTTGTGTACTGTTTGCAGTTTGAAGCTTAGGCCTGAATCTTTAGATTAAAAAGAAGAAAATATGGTAAATGTGCATTTATGGAAAAATATAGAGCCCAAAACCTGATGCTGTGTTTACCCTGAAAATGTATGTATTTTAGAAAGCCGAACATCATGGATTGGAAGAATCAATATTGTCAAAATGGCTATTCTACCCAAAGCAATCTATAGATTCAATGCAATCCCTATCAAGCTACCAACAGTATTTTTCACAGAACTAGAACAAATAATTTCACAATTTGTATGGAAATACAAAAAACCTCGAATAGCTAAAGCAATCTTGAGAAAGAAGAATGGAACTGAAGGAATCAACCTGCCTGACTTCAGGCTCTACTACAAAGCCACAGTCATTAAGACAGTATGGTACTGGCACAAAGACAGAAATATAGATCAATGGAACAGAAGAGAAAGCCCAGAGATACATCCACGAACCTATGGACACCTGATCTTCGACAAAGGAGGCAAGGATATACAATGGAAAAAAGACAACCTCTTTAACAAGTGGTGCTGGGAAAACTGGTCAACCACCTGTAAAAAAATGAAACTAGAACACTTTCTAACACCATGCACAAAAATAAACTCAAAATGGATTAAAGATCTAAATGTAAGACCAGAAACTATAAAACTCCTAGAGGAGAACATAGGCAAAACACTCTCCGACATGAATCACAGCAGGATCCTCTATGACCCACCTCCCAGAATATTGGAAATAAAAGCAAAAATAACCAAATGGGACCTAATGAAACTTAAAAGCTTTTGCACAACAAAGGAAACTATAAGCAAGGTGAAAAGACAGCCCTCAGATTGGGAGAAAATAATAGCAAATGAAGCAACAGACAAAGGGTTAATCTCAAAAATATACAAGCAACTCCTGCAGCTCAATTCCAGAAAAATAAATGACCCAATCAAAAAATGGGCCAAAGTAAACAGACATTTCTCCAAAGAAGACATACAGATGGCTAACAAACACATGAAAAGATGCTCAACAACACTCATTATCAGAGAAATGCAAATCAAAACCACAATGAGGTACCATTACACGCCAGTCAGGATGGCTGCTATCCAAAAGTCTACAAGCAATAAATGCTGGAGAGGGTGTGGAGAAAAGGGAACCCTCTTACACTGTTGGTGGGAATACAAACTAGTACAGCCACTATGGAAAACAGTGTGGAGATTTCTTTAAAAACTGCAAATAGAACTGCCATATAACCCAGCAATACCACTTCTGGGCATACACACTGAGGAAACCAGATCTGAAAGAGACACGTGCACCCCAATGTTCATCACAGCACTGTTTATAATAGCCAGGACATGGAAGCAACCTAGATGCCCATCAGCAGATGAATGGATAAGGAAGCTGTGGTACATATACACCATGGAATATTACTCAGCCGTTAAAAAGAATTCATTTGAATCAGTTCTAATGAGATGGATGAAACTGGAGCCCACTATACAGAGTGAAGTAAGCCAGAAAGATAAAGAATATTACAGCATACTAACACATATATATGGAATTTAGAAAGATGGTAATGATAACCCTATATGCAAAACAGACAAAGAGACACAGATGTACAGAACAGACTTTTGGACTCTGTGGGAGAAGGCAAGGGTGGGATGTTTCGAAAGAACAGCATGTATATTATCTATAGTGAAACAGATCACCAGCCCAGGCTGGATGCATGAGACAAGTGCTCGGGCCTGGTGCACTGGGAAGACCCAGAGGAATCGGGTGGAGAGGGAGATGGGAGGGGGGATCGAGATGGGGAATACATGTAACTCCATGGCTGATTCATGTCAATGTATGACAAAACCCACTGAAATGTGAAGTAATTAGCCTCCAACTAATAAAAATAAATGAAAAGAAAAAAAAAAAAGCCAAACATTTCTCCCTTATCTTTTCTTTAGGCTTTCAGACGTCTCAATGAGCAGAGATTCCATTTTTAAATGTTTAGAGTTTATATTCTCAGGTTTCTCTTACCTCTAAAATTCAATGGTTATGTTTTCACTGAGGCACATCTAAAAATGTTCCAAGTTACTTTGCTAGCAGTTTTAAACAGTGCAATTTACTAAGTTTCCGTTTCTCTTAATCTCTTTGGGTCTTCATTTTCTCATCTATAAAATGAGGGAATTACACTATGTATTTCTCAGTCCTAATTTTATAGGATTCTCAGCAAAAACAGGCAGGGAAGCCAAGAAAGGGTGGTTAAAAGACCTCAGATGAAAAAAGCCCTCTGAGCATAGACAGTAGAGACTGGTGCTAGGTTTTGCTATTAATTTACACCACATTCTGCCAGCCTAGTGCAGCCCAGATCACTGCTGGTCTATCCAACTGATCCACAGTGGATTTGCTATAAGAAAGTTCTCTTACTGTGCTGGTTTCTAAATCGGCTTACTGATACTTCTTAATCCACTGGTCACAATATGAAGAGTTCCCTTCCAGCATTATTCATTTATACCATGGCAGCATGCAGGAATCAGCAAAGAGTAGAAGTTAACGGCAAGGTGTCAGGACACCCCCTCATGTCCACAGAATAGGGGTTGAAGTTCCATCTTCTCTTTTTCTCCCCTTTTAAAATAACAGCATTTTCTTCAAAAAGTTTCAGTGAAGTTCAATGTATTTTGTATTTCTAATCAGCATCAACAGCAAGCCCTACCAATCAGTGGGGCTTTACTGTGTAGCTCCCCAGTGTCTAACTTGTCTCTGTAACTTGCAACACTTCCCTGACAGCGGAGAAGTGCAGCACAGACGCAATCCTGGGTGCTTGTGCTTGATCATTCAGACGCAATCCTGGGTGCTTGTGCTTGATCATTCACTCTCTGCAGGATGGAAATCACGCTGCTTTCTTGCAGGTGACTAACTTGGAGCTCCAGTGTGGCCAGACGTGGCAGATCTCTCACTGCTTCAGAGCAGGCACCCCGTGCTCCAGCTGAGGCGAGCTGTTTTGTAGATGGCCTCTGCTCATTTACCCTGGCTTCCCTCCCACCTGGCTGTGTCTTGTGGAGCAACAATCATTTCCATTCTTTCTCAGACTGCTCCATTTTCTCTTGGCTGCTCTCCTCCTCCCCGAGGGATTGTTTTCTCTCAAATGTCAGAGTAACGCTTAAACAATAAAAACAAAACTTCAGGCTCATGTGAACCCAACAGATAGCACCCCTGCCTGCTCTTAATACCTTTGTCCTGTTGTCTGTCTCACTGATGCCCTGTAGTGGGTGGGAACGGATTGAGATTA